TCCATCCTTGGAGGTACTCAATACCAACACGGTCCTGAGTAACCTCTCTGGCTGAACCTGCTTTGTGCAGGGAGTTCAAGTGGGCAATGTCTAGGATTTCCTTCCGACCTCAATTATTCCACAATTCTGCAATACTCCATTCAAAGGGAATCTGTTTGATCAGAAGACAAACATCAACTGCCATAATCTACCGTGACACTCCTAAAACACTTTCTGTTAGCATATCTCATGGAAAATTTATGACTCTTTTGTACTTTCCAGGTGATTAAACACTTGGAAAGATTTTCTAAAAATCTTCATTAAGTAGACTGAGGTATTATACATAAATCCAGAAGGTACATGCACAGCTACAAATTCTTATATTTAGTATTTAGGGATACATAAGTGATTATTCTGCTTCTATGCTAGAATTCTCATACCTCTGTAAACACACCGATTATATGTCTGTATGGCATTTTAAGGGATGCTTCAAGGCTGCCTCAAACCCACTCTTCTGCCAGTGCAGACAGGAAAATCAGCTATGACTGAAGGATGCCCTCCAAACCAGACACTCTGCATACCTACATAGATGTGGCTGCTCTGCATAGTCAGGTCGCACAGCACAAGTACAGGTAGCTTGAGACTGCTAATTAAGAGTCACATAGATTCAGCATCAAGAGATAATTGCTAAAAAAATTCTTTAATGCTCACAGAACTCTTTTTAGACTCTGCTTCATTTTAATTCTTGCGAGCCATCAATCAAAATAAAAACACAGCATACTGTGTCTACTTCTGTCAAGGTTTTACACAACAGAAACTTGCATGTTTTAAGTAGTTTTGACACTGAATCCACTTTTTGAGTTCTTTCTAACATTCCCCAAGTGACTCACACTTATGCAGAAAAGAAAATACCACAAAACAGACTTTGATAGTGTAATTCTTTGTTGTCTGCTATTATGGCACTCTCTCAGAGACAGCTGGCAGAGGATTGATGATGCTTAACTCTGGAGCAATTCTGCTGCAGTTGGTCATCACTGTGCATTGTTCTCCCACTGCCAGAAACATTTCAGCCTCTTCACGAGGCGCAGCAGATTTCTGTTAGTGCGTTATGTGGGACAGGCTAACAACAGACACAGCAGGATGAGGGACAGACATGTTCATGGCCCCAAGACCCTGCGAGGCCTCAGCTCTCCCAGACATGGTGGGTTATTCAAGGGCAGCTGCCGGATCTTCATACCAGCGTGTTCATCAACAAGGCCAGAAACTCCCCTGACCACACAAAACACCCGAGACTAAAGGGCTCTTAAGCCACAAGCACTCTCTCGAAGATACCCCAGATCTCTGCAGAGCCTCGTGCCCCTGAGCAGGTACTTATAGGCACACACTGAGGGAAAAAATAAAAACACCCTGATGTGACACAACTGTAAAGAGCTCAGATTTTATAGAGAACAGGAGATTCACCACTTTAAAGTGCCCCACGCTACAAGGCAAGCCGTTTTAAAGTGCTCTGGTCGAGCGTTGCTGGGGAAGGGAAAAAGCGGCAATCTTCCAGGCACACCAGCTGACACGACAAAGCAAACTGCCCCTAACCGCCGAATCACTGGGACGCAACCTCTGCCGACCGCCGCCCCTCTATGCCGCCCCCACTCCGCCATCTTGTGGCTCGGCACCCTCCCCCCGCCAAACTCCATTTCCCGGGCGGCCCAGCGGCACCGGCCCAGCAGCAGCGGCAGCGCGGTGGGGAGGCGGCGGCGCAGCAGGTACGGGCGGGCCGCTCCCCTCAGCCCCTTCCCGCCCGCGGGGCTGCCCAGCGTGGCTCCGCGCGCCCCGCGGGGCCCTTCGGAACGGGCCTGGGCTGGGCGCCGTTGCCGGGCGACCGCGCTGTGGGGACCCGGTCCCGCCCGTACCGCTCCTGCGGTCGGTGTACGCGGAATAGCCGCGGAACAAGGCCCGGGGAGGGGAGTTGAGGATAGCCACGGAACAAGGGCCGGGGAGGGAAGTTGAGGACTTTCATAGCTTTTCATAACGACAGCTATAGATTTGCCTTTTTTTTTTTTTTTTTTTTTTTTTCCACAGCAGTCATCTTTTCTCTGACTGTACCTTCCCTTTTGGGGAATACCAAGGCAGAATATGGTTCTGCCTCACCTAGCAGATGGTGAAATTAAGGGCTTCAGTTAAAACATGAAGTAGATCTGTGAACAACTGAATGTGTAGTGACATTAAAACTCTGAGTTTAATGTGTATATTTACAATGTGTTTTATAGGTCAATTTCCTTAAACAGTGCCAAAGGAAAGAGGATGGAACTAGCAAAGACTGCCAAGGAAACCATCCTCATCACGGGAGGAGGTGGTTATTTTGGCTTCCGGTTAGTGCATTAAATAGTTATTACATACAAGAATAAATGTAAAAGATTGCTGCTGGTCAGGCAACAAAATCCATCTGTAAAAAGAAAAACTATGTGCCTGAGATGCCTGATCCAGTTCATCCCGTCCAGTTTATCTCAGATTTCAGTTTTAAACAAACATGTTATTCTGTTTCCATGTTTTAAGTAAATATGTTATTCTGTTTCCAAATGCCAAACCTCAACTGACTTGGAGACATTTACCTGTCTGGCTACCTTTGTAATGGGGATTTAGATCATCATCTTTCAGCCTACTCTAAGAGCAAGCCTACACCTGTATGCAGATTTTTGACAGTAGGCCATGGCCTGCAAATAGATAGAGACATCATTGGTTATATAAATTAAATACTCTCGCTGTTCTCTCAAGAATATATTTATTTTTATGGACGGTAATGTTGTAGGATGAGAATTGTTAATAAGGTACATGTTTCAGTGAAATCCATTTCCCCTTACTATAGATGGCTCTGCACGCCCTGTAAAGAAAAAAAAAAAAAATTTGAGCCCTAGACAATCTTCTAGTGTACCTTCAGAGTTCTGTGTACATAGGTAAGAGAGATTGCAGTCATGGCCAAAAAGTAAATTTCAAGTGTGTGTGGGGAGAAGTCTCAGGAGATACCTATCTGACTTCTGTGTGGCTTTTTACTGTCTCCCCCTTTAAGCACTACAGAAATACAACGGTTATAGGAAAGGGGGAAACAAACACCAGATCTATACTTTGTGTCAGTACTTGTGACTTGGAGTAAAATGTAGACATGTGGCAAAGTATTCACACTAGCTTAGAGGCATCTCACTCGTTCCTCTGCTCCATAAATTTCAAACACAATGGTGAAGACCAGCCTATTTTTCTCACAGTATTGGGATGGCACAAAAGCAATAACATAAAACCAGCAAGATATTTTTTTTTTTTAATATTTGGCTGCAGATTTACATCTTGAAAGGTTTGCTATTGCTGATCTGTAGGGGACAGAGGCAGAGAAATAGCTGGTTTCTTCCAAAAGGCTGCTGAAATCACTTCAGTTATTTCTGTTCTGAATTTTCCTTTACAGAAGTTCTGCCTCTTTTTCTCCATATTTTTTTTCTCCAAAGTATTGATGGAGCCTAAGAAATTAGTTCACAGTTGAATCTTCCCCATAGTAGATGGCTGAATATTTAGAAGACTCCCATCAGAAAAAGAAACAGTATTAAAATAGTCAATAGTCTTCTCTTGCCTCCAGGTAAACTGTTTCATGCATCATTATGCTATGCATACTAACATATGGTTTCTATCATGTTTTAGTTTAGGTTGTGCCATATACCAAAAGGGAGTTGATGTGATTCTCTTTGATGTCGTGAAGCCACTTCAAACTGTGCCAGAGGGAATGAAGTTCATGCAAGGGGATGTCTGTTGCCTGTCTGAAGTGGAAGAGGCTCTTAGAGATGTAATCTGTGTATTCCATATCGCTTCCTATGGAATGTCTGGCAGGGAGCAGCTGAACCGAAAACTTATAGAAGATGTTAATGTGAAAGGAACAGAAAATGTCATCCAAGCCTGCAAGAACATGGGAGTGTCAAGTCTGGTTTATACGAGTACATATAATGTGGTATTTGGAGGCCAGATTATAGAAAATGGGGATGAATCTCTGCCTTATCTACCTCTTCACCTTCATCCAGATCACTACTCCCGGACCAAATCTTTAGCTGAAATGAAGGTGCTGGAGGCAAATGGTGCTGAGCTTGGAAATGGCAAAGGTGTATTAAGGACTTGTGCTCTCCGACCTGCAGGCATCTATGGGCCTGGAGAACAAAGACATCTTCCAAGAATAGTTAGTTACATTGAAAAGGGACTGTTTAAATTTGTATATGGAGATCCTCTTAGTTTAGTAGAATTTGTACATGTAGACAATCTAGTCCAGGCTCACATCCTTGCATCTCAGGCCCTCAAAGCCAGCAAAAAGCACATAGCTGCAGGCCAAGCCTATTTTATTTCAGATGGCAGGCCTGTAAATAACTTTGAATTTTTCCGACCGTTAGTGGAAGGTTTGGGTTACAAGTTCCCAACCTGTCGTCTTCCTCTCTCCCTTGTCTATTTTTTTGCATTCCTTACTGAAATAGTTCATTTTCTTGTAGGACACATTTACAATTTTCAGCCTCTCCTCACTCGCACAGAGGTTTACAAAACTGGTGTCACACATTATTTCAGTATAGAGAAGGCCAGAAAAGAGCTGGGGTATAAGCCTCAGCAATACAGCCTGAATGAAGTGGTTGAGTGGTTTAGATCTCAGGGATGTGGACCAAAGCTGAGAAAGTATACCATTATGCATCTTGTAAGGGATGGAGGATTGCTGTTGCTGCTGATTGCTGTGATGGTCTGGTGGTTTCCATCTACAGTTACATTTTCACTCTGAAAGATGAAACACTGAGTATGGAGGACAGAATTTAGTTACATTCTCTGAGTACTCTTGGTTTTGACAGATATGTAACAGAAAATAAACCTCCAAGAAAATACACATTTGTGTCATTCAGGTAAATAACAGTTTTATCCCTAAGAAACAGAAATACAGAGTAAAAAGGTATAATTTTTATACATAGTTCCTCTTCAAAGTAAAATTGGTCAGATCACTAACAAGATGAAGCTCAGTATTACTGCAAACAGCATTTTATTTTCAGGTACAACAGCACACTACAGTGAATGGAACAAATGTCCTTGGACTGACCTTTCTTCCTCCCTGATGGGATTACACATTCTTGATCCCTGCCCTTTATTTCTAAAAAGTTTGTGCTACATGATCCAGAGGAGAATAAACTTACTCTTTGATCACATTCCAAAACCAAATTCTGCTTTCCAGATTGGATGTATATATGGCCTAACCAAGATTAACTGATAAACTGCTAGACAATAAATCGCTTTTTTTAAATTTTATTTTTATTAATGTATTCTGGTATGCTTTTCTGAGTTAACTGTGATATCTAATGACATTTCTAGAAAATGCACAATGGTTAAGTTACAGCAAAGTGCTTGAAGCAGCACAGATTTGTAGATTTTTCTAACACTAAAATATGCCTGTTTAAAATGAATGAGCTAGCTAAAGTGCATTCATAAATAAGACCTATGATTTTTCCCAGCATTATTGAATGGTTAAACAAATAATCCATCAAAGACATTTGGTAAGTGATTACATTCATGTTCCAATGTTTATAAAACATCTTTAGCCTTTAATAATATTTAACACCTAACACCATTTGAACAGAACTTTAACTCTGTAGTACAAGGATAAACACTTGATACGATGAAACTCATACTTTTGTGAAGTTTTAACAAGGTCTTATTTTCTATTCTTAAGTACAGGTCTCACTACTGTCTCTAGCCACTCCCTCATCTCTGTCAGTTTAATATAGGAAGAGATACCCAAGAAAGTTCACATCAAAATGTTAAATCACAAAGTTGTTTTCCCTTAACCCATCAGCATTGCAGTTTCAGTAATTGATAAAAAGACAGTCCTGCAAGAAATTCATACTTTTCCTTAAACTTTAAACTTTCCATTTTAATAGCTGAAACTACGCTGTTCTTAAATTAATTTCAGTTCTGTTAAACTCTACTGTGATTTAAATGGGGAAGCAAAGAGACAGACAGTAGTTCTACTGCACTGTTAAAGGATTCTCAGAAAAGAAAAATGCCTAAATATAGAAACCAAGCTAAAAGTCCACTGCTACCCATGTTTAGAAGATGGAGATTTTTGTAGTTATCAACAACTAAAGACAGCATTATGTTTTAAATGCTGAGTTCTCTTCCTGAGTTTACCTTTAAAAAAAAAAAAAAATTAATAGCTACTGATAACTACATGTTTTGTTTTGCTTGAAATCTGACTTTCCTTCATTCCCCTACCAGTGGTACTGTACACCATGAAAGACACTAAATTTAATACTTAGCTTGAGGGATAGCTCAAGAGAGAACTCAACTTTTTTATTTTTTCTATAATAGTAAATAAACTGAGGGGGCCCGGGGCAGCAGTGTTTGTGTAGCAGAAGGGTTGCACTTCCTTACAAAGAGCTTATGTGCCCCCCAACAGAGTGCTGATGGCAGAAGGGCCACTTTCTAGAAGTCATTAATATACATCATCATAAGCCTGCAGAAAGAAGAAACCTTTTTAAAACAGAAAAAAGACAGTTGTGACCTCATGAAAGCATTGGACTGCTGTTCTCTTTCTAACAGGCCCGGTTTTACAAGTGAAAACCACTTGGTTATTTTCCCCTTTAAATTCTCTGCTTTTGACACTGTTATCAGAAATAGATTAAGAAATTTTAGTGTCAGCAGAAGCAGCCAACAAAACCAAAACGTACAAGAAATTGCACAAGCCTGTTGCACGGAACCATGGTATCAATATTTCATGCTACGTCTTGTAAAAAAGATGTTTTTAAGATATGGAACATAACTCCTGTGCCACAGAGGAATTTCTTCTGCTATTTCTGATCTTTTTATTAGCAAAAGTCAGCTACAGCCATTCATAATTATCTCAGTGGTGGTATTGGTGGAAAAATTTATGAAAGGGTCCTAAACTCATGAAGCCTAAATCCACGCTGTTAATACTGGCTGAGGCTAAAGCCCTGGACAGCTTTTTAAGTACAACAGAAGAGGAAGCTCCTGCAAAGACAAAACCCCACAAACCCACAAACATCAGAACTGCAGAAGCTGAGCTCAACACATGAACCTTCTCATTTGTCTGGAGTCAAGGACAGACCTCTTCACTGATATCGGAACAGGAGGCATTATTTTGTCTCAGTGGCCCATGACTGCTGCTTGAGCACAGGGTACTAAATCAGGTACTTGGTAGGAGAAAGAAGCAGTGACTTGGCAATGGCTTCCCCAGACCTCATCAACACTGTACTGGTAAATTCATTAACTCCCTGTCATTCAGCTCCATCTAGTAAAAAAAGTAAGTTCCTGACTACAGAAGAGGTGAAGGACACTTTTCCTCTTTCCAAAATGAAAACAGGCAATCTGTGACTTAAGGAGATACTTTAAAATTGCTTGAAAATTACATATGTATAAAGCCAGTCACAGCTGTTCTATTTTAACTATTTTACAGTGAGAACTCTCCTTCTTCCTGTTTTTTATTTGTTATTATTACATTTGCATGAATAACTGAGGAAATTAAGGTAATCTTTGGTACATAGCTAAGAATAATCTTTGGTACATAGCTAATGCCACCTCACCATTTAGAAGGTTAGTTTGAGAACTGCAAAACCAAGAAAATGTTTGCAACAGAGAAACTCGCATTGAGGTGGGAAAAAAGTGAGAACACAGGCAAAACACCTGAATGAAGCAACATTTTGGACTTCAGAATTTATACGTACCAATATGCACAAATTAAAAGGTGATAAAGACCATTTGGCTCATCTAATGGCCTCCTAGAAGACTAGGCTGCAGACATCTCATACTGATTCCTGCTCAATATCTATACAGGTTTTATTAAAAGACTGAGAAAAATTTTGTTCCCAAGACTCCCAACAATGAAAAAAATCACAACATAAAGACAGCACACACTCACCCAGCAGCACTTCTGCCCATTCAATTAAGGCAACTTTATGGGCAGAAATAATGCTGATGTAATTTTATGGTGAACATCAAGATTACTGTGCTACCAAATTACTACAAACTCACCTCTGCCTTGTTCAGACTTTATTGTTTGAGTTGATCCAAAACTGATGCTCATACCTACTTATCACTGAAAAAGGTTGGTTAGGAGTTGCAAGTTAAGCATGATCTTTGACCTCTTCCTTCTGCCCTGCTTGTTTGCAGCCAGATGAAATGCAACAATAACCACGTGTACGGAAACAATCAATACGTCAGTTCATCTTAAAAACACAATGCCCTTCCACCAATCTCTAGCAGAACATACCACAACACACCAGCAGATCACTTTTCAATAAGAACTCACTGTCTCAAAATGACTGGCAAAATTAATGAAATTCAACGAGCGATGCTTAAACAAAGAAGCATCTGGCATCATTCACATCACTGCTGAGATATCAAAAATTACTTATTAAAAATAAGTTATTTTAAGGATTTAAAACATTTTCTATAAGAATATAACAATTTAACAGATATTATTAACTTCAAAAAATTTATGTTTTTCCTCCTAGATTATAAAATTAGCACACACATTCAAACCTACTTTCATGTTACAACAGTTGCAACTGTGAGGAAGTTGATACAGAGTCTGCCCTGACAAAGAATTGAGAGATGAAGTTTTGGAGTTAAAACACAGAATGCAATAAACAAGAGAAGAGTAAGTACATAGCCTTGCCTATCACTTGCAAGTCAACAAAACAGTCAATGCAGTATTTTCCCTTCAGAATACAGTGTAACATTTTACTCTGTGGAAAAGTCTTACTGTAAAATGCAATGCATTTTCATATATACTGAGGGAGTGCATCTTACAACTTTTGACATCACATATGCGTGGAAAACATGTACAGGACTTCTCAAAGGGCTACAAAACGTGCTAGTTCTGAAATATTTGCACAGCAGCAGCACAAGGAACTCCTGTATTCATCACACAATGGCTGTCCTCTGTCAGGAATATACATACCAACAAAAGAAGCCAGGACAAATGGACAATTTGGTTATGTCTGCTCTGGAACTGAGCTTTAAAAAAAAAAAAAAGTCCCCATAAAATGGAACAAAACCCCCACCATGGCAACGGCCTCAAGCTTTAGGGTTTGATCTTCCTAAGCTCTAGCATCTTGTAGTCTCCTATTTTTTGTGACCAAACCTAGCTGCTACTCAGCTGCCTAGAAATCCTGACCCACCTGTAGCAACAACTGCAGGACCTTCCAGACAAGGCTTTGAGCCACCTTGTCTGATCAACACTGACAACACAGTGTTCTCACAACATTAAATGGGAATCATGGAGGCTGTTAAATATATAGCACAGGGACCGATCGTATGACAAAACTAACCACATCCCAGAACGTGCTACAAAATGCATACACACCAAAGGTGTCCCCCCTCCAGGAACAGCAACTGGATCACCCCATTATGCCTGGATACCGCAGATAAGCCCAGCTTTACACAGCAGTTGAGGTTACAGCTCTGCCTCCCATATCCACAGTTGATGTGATTTTTTATTTGCTTGAGGGGGGTTTGCACCCATCTAATCCTTGAACAGGTCAATCACAACTGGGTACTGAAGAGATTTCGGGCAGGAGGAAGAAAAGCAAAGAATTGCCTTTAACTTTGTTCTCTTTTTCAGTTGGGTGATTAGTAATTAATTTCTTTATAATAAAACATTTACAGAAGCCACCCCATTGTGGGACACACTATTATAGCACTTTCATCTTCGAGACAAGTCTGTCTTTACAGAATAACTAAAACCTCAAGGGGTTTCCTCAAAACATCATCTGTGAATGCACAATGGCATCAATTAAGTGCCTCTTGGAACATAGCATGGGGAGCAAGAGAAACTGAAAATTGCTGAGGCAGCTTCATCAGGCTATGAATCCAAAAATCCATGCAAGTTTTCTGTGATCAGAAATACAGCACTATGTATGCAGCATTTTGTGCCTCAGGCAGTCACTTAGAAAATCTTACTCCTCCGCACACGTATAAAAGTTAAAGTCAAGCATACAGATAGCAAAACTCCACCCATGTAGAGATAAAACAACTAGGAATTTGACAGTACTAACAGTGCTAGCACAAAGAACCAACACACACACAAATTAGGACAAACGGTGTTAAATATGACATTGAAGGACTTCAGTTCTGCTCTGGCAGGAAAACACAATTGCTCATCTAACAAGTCTTCTCATATGTAGCTCCGTGTTCTTCATTTGATTAAAGCCACAACAACAATGTACCTCTGTATTTGTGTATACTATCATTCTTGGATTAGATACCTTTTGAGAAAACAGTGTACATTTACAGAACATTATCATTTGATGCTATCGTCTAAGCAGGCCTGCAAGATTAAAAATGGACAGTTCATTAAAAAATTAATTTCTAAGCACATTAGCAGCTGAAAGGATTTGCAAAACGATACTGCACCAAAGTAAATGCTCTTCAGAATCTGAAATACTTTTCATTTCTGCAAACAGATGCTTCCTACTGCGTATCTTAAAACTTTTCCTTCCAGTGCCTTGAGGTTGTGAACACAGGTTCACAGAGGCTATGAATACAGGTTCACACATCATTCCTTTCTTAAACCTTTACAGAGAGTTCAACAGGAAAAACACAACTACAGTCGCAGAGGATATTTGGTTTCAACAAAATTAACATATTATCTAGTTCTCAAAAATGTAACAGAATACTTTTAACAAGAGACAAGAGGGTATGAGCTATCAGCTACCCAAAATATTTTATACAGTATCAGCAGCACAATCTGCTGCCTTGGGCAGTGTAACATACATGACGTGACAATGCTGGCGTAGAAGTGCTTTTACAGCATTTAATAAATTAAAAAATCACTACCAGTTAATCTTAAGGAGACGGGTTGTTAAAGTGGTGTGATTCCATGCATGCAAATTGTTGTGAATGTACTTCAGGTATTGATAATGAGAAGTGAGGTCTGTCCAATGACATGCCCTCAAATTTTAAAAATCTTGACTACATAGAAGGTCTGGCCTGCACAGAGGGTATGCTTTGTACAGAATATACATTATTAGGAGTTAAAATAGTTTTTCTTATAACAAGAAATTATTAAGGAAACCCATCTTTCTTCCTCCTCCTCTTCTTCCAGTCATTCAGTCTGATGAGACCGTCATTGAGTAGGATTGCCAGGATAAATCAGTATCTCTTCCTGAATTGCACCATAAAGCACACATCAAAGAAGGATTGCTTTAAGAGTAGAATTTGCTGTTACTGACTCTCTTCTCCTTTAATCTTAAGGGAAAAGAAAAGGAAAAAGTCAAATCCACTAGGAATTTCTCAGAGGAAAACAGCCTACCATGTTCAATTTACTTAGATAGGACCGGCAAGTAATATATCAGTATCAAGCATTGCATTTTTTTTCCTCAGTAAATGGGCATAAACCAGTGATTCATGCAGCTCTTCAGCACACATAAAACAGGGTAAAAATATTTAAAGACAAGTCTTCCTCCCATCCCATCCTGAGATCTACTCAAGACTTCCTCCTGGTACTAAAGCCTCTGTCTCCCTCACACCCAGCACAAAGGTGGCAGCAAAGGAGAAAGATCCTTCCCCTAAGCTTTGCATAATGTACTAACACTTGACTGAGAATTCTATGCTGTTACAACTTAATACTATTTTTATCTTTTGTGGTTTGTGTATCTGGAAGTATCTTCTATTCCCACATATCTAACATGCTAACATTTCCAGGGACATAACTTTGATAGTGTAGAAAGAGTGAGGCAGTTTGTTTATTTGAAGTATATATATGCAGCTTCCAGGCTTTTCTCCTGGAAAGCAGGAGGAGAGAGGAATATAAACTCACTGGATTACATGTTTTGCTGTGATCACTGAAACTAAGATTTCACTGAGGAGACATTTCACAGCATCTGCTGGCCTCTAGTGGCTTGTAGACCAGCCTTGCTTCATTGCAGCCCTTCCTTGCTTCAGATATGCTCATTCTACCCTCATCACTCCTTAGATGCTCATTGTGATAAATTTGAGATTTCCTTATCAAAAATCATGTCTAGATAGAGCTGCCTTGGAAAGGAGAATGATTATCAACCCACCTGCGGTTGCACGTCTCTTGATATATCTGTAGTTTGTGCTCATTCACATTGAATTCTTTTAATATAGCATCTCTATTAGGATTCCTTAAATTCATATGGGTGTCATAAAGGAACAGCTGGTTATTAAGCTCCTCCTGGCGCTTCCGAAGTTGCCGACATGACGAATAAAGCTCTTCTTCACTTTCCTTCAAAAGAACATTGGTAACCAATGTAACTTGTAAGACACACCCAAAATGACAGTCAACATAGTTCAGGGGATTATTTTGTTTTCTTCAACACATTCCCTTAGCCTCATAGAGTATTTTATAAAACAAGTTTTATAAGATGTTTCTGGAATGTTTACAGAAAGAAATTAAGGAATACTGAGAAAAACCCTCAGCCCCACAATATGAACAGACATATCCTCTAACAGGGGCATCAGGAACATTCCAACAGAAGTCATGAAACGTGTATTTCTAAACACTTCTATTGGAGTATTTTTCCCTAATAAAGCATGTCAGTCTGTTGAGTAAAGGACAGCAATGTATCATGATGGGTTATCAGATTATAGCAGTTTTTAAACTGCTTTTTAAAAAAAAGTTTATTTTTTTACTGGTTTATCATATTTGTGTATTATGCAATATACTACCAATCCTGGTGCTTTCCTATTGAAATCTAGACTAAAGTTGTAAATCCTGATGAGTAAATAGGACCCCTAATAGCAGCAAGTACTCAGATTATCAAGAAGGAAGGACAGATCCTGTGTTTCTATGGAGCTATGGCAATTCAACAGTTGCAGAGGAATTAAGTATTTGAAAAATAATTTGCAACAGTCTGAGTGTCTCTTCTTGTATGCAGGCCACAGTAGAAGGTCTCAAAATATTCCACAGCATAAAATAATCATCATGATTCCCTTTATGACTTCAAATTATATAATACTTCAAAACTCTGGATGCAAGAGCTGCCTCCTTTATACAGTTACTAGTGGGGAATAGTACTGGCAGGACTGAAGTCTTAATTTTCCCATCAGCAGCAAAACAAGATACTCATCCTACAAAAAAATGACACGCAATCAATAAATGTAATAAATCCAAACATTTTCAGAGGTGGCATACTAACAAGAATGTCTCTTTCTGCACTCAGTCCAGATCTAGAAAAACTGATAGGTTAACAACATACCCAAGGGGTTTCAGTTAGGGCAACAAGATCCTTTCCTAAACTTTCCTTTTCCTCTCAAAACACATTCTTACCCAGGTATGCATTGAGGCAACTGAAACAGCCTCAGTGCTATGTTGCTGATTAAGACTTTAGAAGATGCTTTTGTTTTGGAGGGTTTTTTTGTTTTAAAGGAAAAGGAAACTGTATTCCCAAATCACAAAGGGAAAAAGCAGACTGACAATTATCAATTTGCAGGTGTAATCACCAAGAGGCATATGTACTCCTATTCATTCTTGTAAATAAATGTATCGACAAAGCTAGACTTTAAAACCCCATTTAAGAATGTCCATTTCAATCTTTATGTTAAAAACATATACATCAGCATTTTCTGATTACAATCAGTTTTGATGAAGAGATACACACACTTCCTGAAGCAAGTATATTATTTTCAAGCAAATAAGACATGCTTCTAAACGTAACAACCACCTCAGTATAGTACTACTTCTACAATATCAAGAAAACCAATTAACTTCAACAGAAACTGCGCAAGGCCCCACATAATAGTTCACAAATATGTGTGCTTACGTCTACAATATTCTTGCTTCTCTATTCCTGAGAAATTCCACAGCCATCTGTAATTCCCCTTTATAATTTTGTATTTCATCTCCAAGAGTATGCAGATGGGCTCTGTATATAAACAGGCCTGTTATTAAACTATATCATTTTATGGAGGGTCTTAATTTTTTTAAGAGGGGCAGAAAAACAGATGGAGACAGCCTTGATCTTTTCTGATGATACTTGAATGATCTGGCAAAAGTTCTAGAAGTTAACTGTGCCAAGTCTTGGTTTGTTGCAGACTGACAAACAAAAGGGAAAATTTTTGAACGTTCTCCTGCCACTGCATTACCACCCAGAGACATCAGACATTGTAAAAATACAGAGCTGTGCTGCATCTTCATTTGGCTTAACAAGCAGAAGGGGCTTCAAGAGTGCGAAATGTGCTACTGTCAAAGGACTCAGTGCTGACAGATTGGGTGACATACTGCTGCTACGAACAACACTTTAAGAGTTACTCCTGCCCTAGGCAAATAATGATCTGAATTTCTGAAGAGAAACCACAGCAGGAGGAATTTGCAGTATATCTACAAGCGATGCCCATGCACAACCTATTAGGCAATGGTGAGTTTCTGCCAGTTTCCTCAACTGCAGCAAGCCAAAAAATAGCAGTTTATCAGGCCTCCTCTATCAGACTTGTGTCCATGAAATACGATCATTTTAAATGTTATCTTCAAAGGTCATAGGTCTCTCTTGTTTACACAGACACAAACTTGGTCTCAGCTTCTAACCCTCCCCTGCTCTCAAGACTCTTTGCTAGCCAACAGAAGGAACCCAGTATGGCTGCCAAACACTGTCATTACACACAGCCATTTTACATCATGTGTTATAAGATGGCTTTGTAGAAACCTTGACAAAAGATGTTTGAAAAAGGCTCCCACTCCTTTGTGAAAAAGAATGTGACTGAATTCAGTAATTTCCATTTCAATGTACACAACTGCAAGTGCAAATCCCTCCAGAGACATAATAACTTACAGTTAGCAGAATTTGGTGTTTTAATCAGGAAAAATAATGTACAGTGGTGTGAACTGCAGCATAAGCCTGAATGGTTGCAAAAGACTATAAATAAGAAGTTGGACTTTTTTTTTTTTTCTCTGAACGTGAAGGGTACTGGAAAGCACCCTGAAATATTCACTTCCCAGAAACATCTTTAAATTTTCATCACATGGCCTCTACACTAGTATATTTAAATTACATAAAGTATTATTGAGATAGAAAGTCTGAGCATAATCCTGCTTCCAATCAACATATACAGCAGCACCTTTGGAACATCAACAAATGCTGTTCACACATCAGCCACTTTAATGCACTTCATGAGCAAGGATGCATCATCATAATTTTTTCCCCTGTACGTTTGAAATTACTAGTGCTTCAATGAGGTGTTCTAGAGAGGCTTAAAAGAAGCAGATTAGCACTTCCTTAGGAACCAGAATACGTCTTCCACCTGATGGGTTGTTTATTTTACTGAAATACAGGGAAAAATTACTTTCTCTTCCTAAAGTGATTTCTTTTTATGTAGGACCTTTAAAAAAAGATTGTACAAAGTCATAGCTAAATTTAGCTAGCTTTGGCATCAGTCGGTTAACAGGGGGAGACAATGACCATGCTGTTACAGTAAAAACTAGTGGAGATAATGAGGCTTTGTTAGTGCATTATTTCTTTTAACAACTACGTAATCTGTCCACCCAGAGGGAGAGTAACTCAGTTTGTGCTATTTGTCTTCCCCAGTACCTGCAGACACCGAACAGAAAACTAAATCCTCATTTCCTGGTTTCCACAAAGGACTGATAACATCCACTCTATGTGTGCAAAAAAACCCCAGTGGTTCTCACCAGAACTTGCTGCATTTCACAGTGAACCAGAAGTGAAGCCAACTCTATATCTTCACTATAGCCATTCTTGAGAGGAACAGATCTAAAACCTGGGGGCGGGAGTGGGGCAGGGAGGGAAACACATACAAAGGACAATTAGAGTCAAGGCAAAGGGTTATCAGCAGTCACAAAAATGGTGCATGCAGTCCTGAGAGCTAAGAGATTCTTCATCACTCAAATGCTCTCCTGCTGAGAGCAGGTTTTCCTATGACAATTACAAGGAAGCAAAAGGCAAGAATGGCAAAATTGAGAAACATGTGATTTCACATGCTCTTGAAAACTAAAGCCAGAAGCAGAGGAAAGCAGAAAACTTACTCATTATTTAAATACTTATATGCTACACACCCAATATCATAATAAACAATGGATTAAAGGAACTCCCATTAAAAGAGCACTTGTTCTTTGGCATGTTGTAGCTGCTAGTGAGACCAAAGTCACAATACAACAATCATCTTTCTGACTTAGCCCTTATTACACCCACTGATCTTACCTGACTTGATTCCTTTGATGGGAAAAGTGGCATGTGCTAAGAAATTGGGATCACTGAACATATCCTCCTCATAAACAACAAAGCGCAGAAATGCTAGATTTGGATCATAAATTTCAAATTTCACTTGCTCTGGACAGGGTGCCCAAACTGGATTAAGGCCATTGTCATCTGTAACAAAAAGGAAACATTTGCAGTATGAAGTAATAATTTCACCTCTTTCACATATGGGTATGTATCCCAGGACATTTTGGGGGATACAAAGGCCCAAAAATCCTATTTACCATCTGTCTCCTGTCATAACCTTGCTTCAGAAGGTTTGTATTTGTTTATTTGGGTGGGGGAGATAGGAGAAAACTTGCCAGGTATGGAAATCGGTGAAGAAAAGCTATTATTTATATTTAAACCTATAAAATTTCCTTGGACATGTATTTGTTAAAAAAAACCTAGTTCATTGCTCATAGTCATGAGCCTCATGCTCTGTATCAGAGTAAAAGCATGAAAAGCCCCGGGAAGACTAATATACAATGGCCCTATTCTTATTTATAGAACACTGAGTAACTTGGTATGTGTGACATCGCCAGGAAGTTTACATTCTGAAGTCTTGGTCACTTCCCACAGAAATTTAAAACCACAATCCTCTTCTCTGAAGTAGTGAAGAGGCACAACACACATTCTGCGTCTGATTCGGTGTTTATTTTCCACTGGTATCAGTGGTTTGGATAATTAGAAACAAAGCCTCTTGTTTACTAGAGAAACACTGCTGCATCCAGAAATATATAATGGTGAAATACTAAGTGGCTGAGATACTGCCCCATTTCAGTCCACTTAAATGAAGCTCATGTACACACAAACACACACAAACACACATGCCTTACCCAGAACTCACCAGGAGTGAGTGTTGATCAAACTTCTATTGTGTCGCAAGTTATACTGCTTTACAGCCCTATATACCCAAGCTGTCTCCAAGGGGATGCCAGTCTTAGAATCTGAGTTTAAATAAACACAGTCTGGATCTCACAATACTAACTCTCCATTTGGGCCAGACTTTTGGGAACTGACTAGCACTGTTGGAGGCACTTTCAAGACAGCAATTTTTTAAAATATGCAAATGCACAAACTTATGCATAGGCAATAACATAACAGAATTGCGACTTTTTTTTTTTTTTTATCAAACTGCAACAGTACTATTTTTTCTAAATTGGATATACATTGAAGTTTCTCAAATTAACTGTTCCTGAGGCAAGTAAGAGAATTATATTGTATGACTCATCACTCCAGAGCAATAGTTAACTTATTCCTCCCTATATAGGTTGCTGACCAATCACAGACAATATAAATTCATGGTCATCCTCTACTCATTTTATGTGCACTAGAAATATAACCATAACCCTACAACACAGAGAACCACAGATACTCACTCACAACTGTTGTCTTGAATTTGTTGTTATCATATTCAGCCCCACAAATTTCTACCTCTACAAAGGGACAAGCGATGCTTCTACCAGGTTTAGGGAGATGACGAGCACCTAAAACCTGCAAAAGCAACTGTAAATTATCACCACCTCCAAAAGAAACTTGGCACCATTATTTCTCTACAGAAGGTAGCCTACAGAAATAGAGGAGGTGAAAAAAAATCCAGAAGAACATGCAAAAATACACATTCCCTCTCTTGAATATGTTTGCATGAATTAAACATACTATCTGTGCCATCAATAATAATATCTTTCATTGTTTGGGTAACACCATGATTTTCATTGTAAGATATTGTAGGTGACATTCACTACATGCAGTATGCAGTTCTAGACCAGGCCTGTAACGTAAATTCTGTTATCTTTCCTCAGTCTCTTACATACCTATTTTAAGATATTCCTGCTTTACATTCACAGCCCTTGTTTACCTCTTCTCTAACCTGTAGTGAAAAGCAGTTAATGTGTTTCTTCTCTCCCAGAAAACATATTTTTAAAGGACATCTCTCACTGTATAGCAACTGAGAATAGAACCAAGTTCAACTCCTGTTTGGCACCAGAAGACAACATGGCATAATTTTCAACTGATAAACCCATCTCTCCATGAAAAATGAGAATAACATTCTGATTAAATCACAGTGTACTAAATATAATGAAGGGGGGAATCAGTTTATAATGATGTATAGGAACAAAGAAAAAAAATAATAAATATCTTTCTTCCACGCTGGAAATCTCTGAACTAGCTAGTCTTGCTAACCAGTTTCCAATAGGACCCTTCTATTGAGAAGTCATTAGACTGGAAATGCAAGTTAGTTTATTTGGAATTTTTATTAGCAATTATATAAAATTATCCTGGGATTGTGTTTTCAGTCCTATAGCATTTGCTTCATTAGCATGATAAAGATATATATTTCTTTTCAGGAAGCAGTGGAATTAGTTTTATTCTCAAACACACTGACATTTAAAAACAGTATTTTGACAATCTGTCAGATCTTGCTTTGAAACATAATAGCTTTATTTTTAGTTTTATAGATATTTATGACTTGTAAAAAATATAATTTACAAAAGAGATTTACCCTCACTGTCATAATCATCTGCAATTTCCTCTTCATGTCATTTGGCACTGGGTCATAGTCTTCATTTCGCATGCTTTCTGGCTGCAGAACATAGCCAGTGCGTCCATTAAGTGAAAACAAGGCATGGTTCAATTGCATGTATTTATCTAGGGAGAGAGTTAAACAGTCATAACAGAAGATCCCCATTTGAATAAAGCTAAGGAAATACCAGACTAATGTAATTCTCTGTAATTCTTTCTGGTCGGCACTTTACCAGAAAGAGCTGAAAAGCGAAGTTGGAAGACTCAGTTCCCTTCAGTAACTGAACCTGACAGGCTATTTGTCACCAATTTTAATCCCAATAAACCCATCTCCATTCCCAATCAGTTTCCTATCAATGTGTCATAAAGTTAGCTGGCCCTTACCAGAAAGTGGAATACAGCCTTCCCTGTGGCTGAACAACTGTTCAAACACCTGAAACTTACTGTAAATATCTCTGCTTGTTTATCACAAAGAGATCAAGGTGAAATAAAGGTTTTAGAGTTTGGGGCTAGTTAGGCTCAAAGACAGGTCTGTTGGAGACTGATTTTTGGGGACCAGCTCTATCAGGCAATCCACACATTCAAAACCAAACTGTAGTTCTTGCACATCTCTTCTTGCAGGAAAGCACAAATGAATAGGACAGCCACAGTGACTAGAATGGCAGAGGGGCCAGAAAGGGGCTCGTTTATGGTGAAATGGAAGGTAGATTAGATCCTTTGTTTTAAAGAGAATATTACCTGGAGTTTGGAAGTTAAGAGCCACCATCTGGGAGCCACAAAGCCAGAGGCGAAACGGATCATAGTTGGATGAATCAACCCTCTGTCCTTTAGGATAGACACGAGTCAGTCCCTTCAGGTTGTATTTCAACAACTCAACTGGCTTTTGCTTAACAATGCTTTCTGCCTTGGTTTCCACAAAAGAACGGATTTCTTTGAAATCAGGATTTTCTACAGAAGATAGGGAGGAAAAAGAGTGGTTACTAAAGAAAGAAAGAAGTGGACATTTATATAGCATTTCTACTAACACTTTGTTTTACTTTGTCTTGCTTTGTCCTTTAACGCAACAATTGGCACAGTTCTCGTGGAGACATGGCAAATGGGTTGAGCATCAAGTCTGAAAGTTAAAATTGTCTATTTGCCACATGCTTTGCAGCAGGGCAGATAAGAGTCTATAGTCATGTTCTCATCTCACTATTGCTAATAATGTACTTCTGACCACTATAACACACATTTAAATGAGATGTCTTTTCCTGGGTTTAAACGGGGAGAAGGAAGGGTGAGCCAGGGTTAGCCAATGCCTCAAACAATTACTATAATTATAATGTCTTAACCACACTGACAGCTTATTAAAAACGTTTGCAAAGAAACTTAAAGGAAAAGGGCACATTTGCTGGCTTCTCCAACAGCAATGACAAAAAAATGGAATAAGAAGTCCATATTTCAGTGTCAGATTCCATACCTGCACCTACACAGACCTCAGTTCTTATTTATGTTATGAAACCATATACCATTCCAGTATCTTACATAAATGGCAAACAAGTTATCACAGTAAACTTGTATAACGCACAGCAAATCCATTTTGAAGGTTTTTACAGAAGAATTGCAAGTGTTCAGCCAGAGTTTTTCACCTCAAACAAGTTAACTGAAACTAACTAGTGAGTTTCCCCATGAAAGACACCTACAAGAGGGTGCCTCTAGTTAACTAGTTAGAAATTTGTAACAGTTTTTTTGTGACAATTGATCCAGTTCCCTAGTGTACGATTTCAAAGTGCCACTGAAAACTGAATGGGTGAGGCAGAAATTTCTTTTCCAGTAGAGAAAGGATAGATTTTATCTTCAGTTCTAAAATTTCAACTAACATCTATAAAGATAGTAGAAAGGGTAAAATTCAGATGTAATATTAAAGGAAATACCTAAATTGTCCTTGGTTTTGCTTGTTGGCTTGCAGTAGATAACCAGATCAGATAATTCAATAGCAATCAATTGATTCTTTTCCCAGTATTTCCTCCTGTTCTCCTGTAAAATGTAAAAAAGTTTTAGATCACAGAAACACTGAGTATTATGGTACAGTAACTCCAGGGTATACTCTAATGAAATGACAAAGTTGATACATTATTTGTTGCCCAGATTCCTATCAGACACTTGTATAGGTGAGGTACAATGCACTTTAAGACCCAATTCAGAGAACAGGCTAACCAAGAGGTTTTGGGTTTTAGTTAGGGGTGCTTTTTTTTTTTTTTTTTTTTTTTTTTTGGTGGGGCATGGGGTGGGGTGTGTGTTTGGGTGCTTTTTGACCAAGTGTTTCAGTGCTTCCCTGAGCAGTCCTACTCAGAATCCTGGCAACAAATTTTTTTTTTTTCTTTTAATGTTGCTCTACTCAATTTTAGTTACATTCTCAACTCTATACCTCATATAAATGCAAATGTATGCAGAAAAAATGCAAAGGTTAGTGAAGTGTCTCTCTATTTATTTATAATCCTGAGCAGGACTTTAACTCTCAAACAGCTGAATTCAAACCCTATGGGCATCATTCCTGTAGTTTTCTATTTGTGCACCAAACCAATAATGTTATATATGGAAAATCATGTGCAATCTTGTTGTCATCATTAGTAATAAACCCACTATCTATTTCCATGTTTGCAAGCATCTGCTTGGCGGAAGCTCAGCAACAGTCCCTGTAACCAGAGATTGGGAACTAATGAAATCAGCAAGACTTGTCCTGAGTGGAGACATTTGGGCTGGAGGCTTTTCAGAAGTAAGAAGCAATTACAGGATAAAACATGTTAGAGGAGTCCCAAACTGAACAGCGATTAGCTTTGGTACGAAAGGTTATGAAGCAGCAGCAATTAGGAAGTCTTCCAAAATAATTCCCTCAACAGGACAAACTGAAGAGGAATGAAAATCAGAGCTAGGGAGCCATGGGTTTCCAGAATGTTTCACTGAACCAGAGTTTATATATTGAAGTCTAAGAAAAGCAAAGTGGAATATGGCATTTAGACTTGGAAATAACTTTAGGAGAAAGCTGTACAAACCTCATTGTACTTTGTGATCCACCAGTTTCCCAGACACTGCTCAACAGTAATCAGAGCTCTAAATAGCAAAGGACCACTTCTAGAAGCCATGAGCTCATCTTTAGGTGTAACCCTCTAGTGAGAGCCAAGCAGGAGAGCTAGCAATGAGCAGCCACTCCTAGGAGCATGGCAAATGTCAGTATTAAAGAGATGACAAGATACATGAAACTGAGTTTTCCTTTTTGTGTATAATGGACACAGCCCAAAAATAAACTAATAAAAAAAAAAATCTGTATTGTATTGTAGCACAGTGTTGACTCACTATGCTTTTCCCTTCCTCAAAATTCTGCCTGTTAACCGCACTGGCAAAAAGGGCTTTTCCTCATCTTTTTCCCCTCCCCATGCAACAGTCTATCATGCGAACTTTCTAGAGGCCACACTGTGAGAGAAGCCACCTGATTGACAGAAATTAGTTTTAAAGCATCTTTGAACACAGTGTTTAATATTTCTTTAGCTGTACAGGGGAAGAAAAAGCTGCCAAGCTCCCAAAGAGCCATTGATGTACCATAAAAAACATTCCATTTAGAGACACTTCTAGGTCATGTTTCTCTTTTTCTCATTTTTATTTCTAAATGAAAGCCTTGCGTAAGAACAGTATCTCTCCTCCTCCAACAATAGGTCAACAGCTCCTGTTGCTTCTTCCCTTGCTGAATTTGCAGTCCTCTGCTTGAGACACCAACTTGCCTGCTATAAATAGGATTATGATGACCCTCAAAGCATTACCACTCCAGATGACAGATAAACAGCATGAGCCAACATGATACTGAAACACATTTTCCATCACTCATATCAGCCACTTAACAATAAAAATTGAATAAAAGCAACGAAGAGTATACTTAAGCATAGTCATTGTAAGGGCTTTTTGGTCATATCAGAGACTTCTTAAATACTAGAAAAGATGACAGGGAGGTAAATTAATACATCAGAACAGGGAAAGCAAGTCCTGAAGAATATCTTTAAGCAGCAGTACTCGTAGATGGATATAGAAGCTAAACTTAGGCAGAATCCTTTAATCTTTAGGCAAGGATTTGGAAATACTACTCCTGAAGATCTGGTAAATCCAGAATGTGCCTATTAGTTACAAATAAAGTATTAGAAAACAATTCCCTGTCAGTGCCACTACATTCACTGAAAAGCAGAGTGAGTTGATAGGATTAAGAAGAGTTTAGGCAAAGGCAGCTCAGATGTCACATATGCTCACTAGTGGATTCACAACTCTGAACAGAACACTCTGATATCTGAGTTTCTTCTGCTTAACACTAGGTTTGAACCAGGGAAACCAGGGGTAAAACTGTAATGGTATCTACTTGGTACTACTAAGCACACTTCACTGAGGTGCAGGGTGCAGCACAGACAGTACTCTGCTGAAAAACTCCCGTTAACATAAATTTACATAGAATGCTAATTTACATAGCATTTCTAAGAGTTTAGGGAACAAGATTCACAGCATCAATAAAATGAACAGACCAAGAGCAATATGCAATAGAGTGAAGGACCATGTGTTAGCAAGGCTTAGCAGTGTAGGGCAGCTAAAGACAAATCGTATTGTATATTTTATAGCAGTACATTATAAAAAACAACAACGGATAGATATTTATCAATACCTCTTCTGTAGTTTTCCAAGTGATTTCACGGATACTCTGGTACCATTCAAAGAGTTCTTCTACCTTATCAGTTGCAAACTCAACACATGGATCTTCTGGATTCTTCGGTTCCAGAATGAAGACAAAAGACTTCTGGTGTTTCCCTTGTGGCATTTTCACTGTTAGGCAACACAGTACCAAGAAATTGATACTAAAATCCAACAGTTGTCCTTCTAAGCTGCCATTGTTGATTTTTTGCAACAGTTAGTATCATAAAGTTGCATCATATTAGTTGTATTAGCTATATTAATACAAGTAAGTGTTTTGGGTTTTGTTTTGGTTTGTTTGGTTTGGGTTTTTTTTAAATCTTTCTTGCTAAACATAAAAGAGTATGCTCAACACAGAAAGCTCAGGAGTCCACGTGTAAGCATCAGAAGATACATACCAACATTGTACGTATTGAGTACCAGTATGCCACGACACAGAGAGCCTAATGGATTGTCCTCAATAATCTGAAAAACATAAGTTAAATCTGACCCTAAATCTTCTCTTGAGTGAATATGCACAGGACATTAACAAATAATAAACAAACACCATTAAATCTAACCTCAGTTTCACTATAATGTTTAAAAGCCTGTTTCCATACCAAGAATTTCTCATTTTGAGAAACACATGAAAATCTCTATAGTGAGAGCAGTCAAAATGAGGACTGCAGCTTCTGTCCTGACACAACTGCTCATTTTTCAAGTCTGTTTAAGGTTGCAATAACCAGGGGGGAAATCTAATACATGTGTTTTTCTCCAAAGACGACTGGAAAAAATCATTGGAAGTGCTTCAGAACAACAAAAATATTAAGCATTTTGTTTTGTTTTTAAAGCTCAAAAATGTCAAAAGTGCTTACCATGGAGTTTTGTTTTCTTTTGTTGAAGAGATCTTTGTCCAAGACTCTGGACTAGATTTTTAGACACTTTTGACAAACAGTATAGGGCTAGTTATGCATAAAAACTTAATAATGGAGTGTGAAATGGCTAGTAAGATGTGTTTGGACTTATAATTTTCTTATTTGCAAATATTAAGGCAGTATTTATACAAGCAAACTAATGAAAAGTTTCAGGCATATTATTCTCTAGTCAAACTATCTAAAAAATCTAAACTGGTATGATTTTCATTAGCAGGAAACCATTATAATCTCCTAAAACCCCACTAAATCAGCTATCTCCTTAAGTAGTTTTCTGTGAGGGATGTCCTGAAAAAAATATTCAGCAGCAGAGAACAGTGAAGAATGCATCGATTTCTCTATTCTGTGTTCTCTCAAATACAGCATACAGAGTCATAATTTTATAAACCAGATTTCCACTTCCAGTAGGTAGCATCTTCTAGGGAAATGTAGCAGGCAAACCTTAACCCTCACCTGGCTTTCAAGGTCAGCAGAGTTATCAGATGATAGGTCTTCAACATAATTAGATGGAAAATAGTGTTGGATTTTCTCTCCATAATCCCCCTTCCACCTGAATTTAAAAAGAAAAGTATATATATATAAAAAAAAAATAGCTAAAGAGCTTCTATAGGCTATTAATGAAGCAATAACCCTCAAGAAATTGGTCATTAATACCCCATACTAGCTTGTCTAGCTGGCTATCACCAAAATGTAAGTGATGAAGGAGCTAAAAGCTCTAACAAAGTGATCATTAACTGTAGTAACAGATGATTTCAGAGGGATTACAGTTACTGTAAACTGCAATTAATGACTTAAGAGGCTTTTTCCCCCTCCAGTACTAAAAATACTATTATGTGGTTGATTACCCTGCAGAAACTACAGGGAAACATTAGATTCCCAAGCTTTCCAAGCAATTTACAAGTCAGCTAAGAAAGAAAACCTCTCACAAGAGGAAACTGTACAGATAACTAAAAAAGGTAGGTTTGATTCCTGAGAAGTATTTAGCAGATTAAGGAAAGAAACAGAGCAATGACAATGGTAATAGATGAGTGACTACCCAGAAAACAAGTGTTCAGAAAGGATAAATGTAGTAAAGGAAAAATGCTGGATACACTGAGCTATGATGGTTCTACAGGATGAAGTTATTGCTGCAGGATAGAAAAATGGAAAAGACATGAAAAGAGACTTGAGGATGAGGGGGTTTGGGTATTTTTTTAAATACACTGGCATTAAGATTTATGAGACCACAGTTAATAAGCAGCAATTAGACAACAGGCTAAGTTTTTAAAATCTACTACCCAAAGCTCAATTTTTAACTCCACCTAGTAAGTCACCAGAAGTTCTCCTATGAGGAATCTTTGTCCTTACCAGCCTCCAGTTTCTTTTGTGACATTATGAATTAAAGCTCCTCGAGAGAAGCTCAATTCATCACTTCTTTTGGCTCTGTAGTCATACAAGGCTTTCACTGTTCTCTGAGGCTTTAAGAAAAACAGAGCAAAAAGGTCATCTAGGGGGAGGGATCATAAAATAATCGATAACACAATCTTTAAAAAAAAAATGAAAATAAATAAAGGAGGGTGGACTGGGGACTGGATCACTTTTTTTTTTTTTTTTTGGCTATGAAGCCTAGAAAATATAATACTAAAGCTCCAGAGTGCCATCTACTGGTGGAAGCAAGCGATGCTAGTTAACGGCTATTATCAACTTGAAGAAAAAGAATCTTTTACGGGTGCTGCAACATAATTACTGTAGGAAAAAATTTAAAATAAAAAAAAAAGGAAAAAAAAAAAATCAAACCACACAGTGAAATATCAATCCTCTACCTTCATTACATGTATTCATATGGAGTTAGAGTTTGTAGGCCTAGATGCCTGCAGAGCCTCCACTTTATAACCACATCGGCTATCCTTCTGGTCACATTTCTTTTAGGGAGAAATCCAGTTTTAGCAGGACAAGCAATTTCTTTATCTTGAATTTACTACTACCTAAATTCTTCAGCAGCAGTGCAAATTCACTGGCCAAAAAGACTAAAAAGAATTACAGCCCCAAAATTTAGAAGCAAGTGTATTTTTACGAGAATTTACAAGTAGGCCGGCCCTAACAAGATTCAGAGATAGCAGATGTTTGTTGTGCCATTTGTGTTTAAATCACTATATATATCTTAAAAGACAACAAATTTTAATAACTCATTAATAAACTAAAACCACCGGTTTTATATAGAAAGCACGTAAATAAATTCTGCAACTATTTGTGCATGCAGGCCGCGTTTGCTAATGGAACTGTGATAATTTGGTGCACAGACAAATAACAGTGCTCATAAACAGACACACACACACGCACACCTGGGGTTTACATGTCGTACTTTCTTTCCATGAGGACTGGGCCTTCTCAGATTAAATCTTCACATAGGTTATTTGATTTGGGGGCATACCTGCATAAGCATGCATGCCAAATCAAATTACCTCCACAGACTCAATAGCAGAAAGTGCCCAAATTCCCACTATGGATGAATCAATGAAGGACTTGCACAGAAGAAAGCATGTGGGTACAAATTTTAAAGAGATGCTAGAAAAAAGTCACACCTTTATATTTCTGCTGTCCAGTCCCCCATAAATCAGGCAGCCTAATGCTTTCATTACTGCTAACAGGAAAACAATAAACAAGTCTCATAATTTTCAGAGGTCTACAGTAAATGTGAGTATCTCTCTAAGCATACCACTGTAGGGGTGATTTCACTGGGTTCCACATACATCTTGACATCATAGAGGGAGTTAATATCTTTTTCCTAAAAACAGGAAGAAGGAAAAAAAAATGAAGTTACATGAATCAAAAATTATAAAAGTACTTAATGTTAGAAAATTCATTGCTGAAACCACCTTTCTGACAATACATAGGCAAACAGAAGAGGAGGGATAACATATATATGGGTATAACCTATGTTATACCCTTTTCTATAGTTGAACATAGCTGAATGTGAATTTTTTATTTAACCTGCCTATACTTCAGTTTAATGAACAGTAAAACACAATGAAACAGCAGTACCTTAGAAAGGAATCTCTTAGTAAGCCAGATAGAAAGATACTCTCAATCCCAAAGCTATGTGCAACCAGGGAAGACAATACCTACACTTATGGTTTTGGTGTTACAGTACTTTTGTTCCAGTATTAGTTTCACTAGCAGATAAAAATTCTAACACAATATACACAGTCATATTTTTCATTTTATTCGCTCCTTGTGTCCCCATTTGGATCCAGTCCTAGGATACAGAACCTTTGCTATAGGCAACCTTATAAAAAATCCTGAGGTCTAAAAATCTTTTCAGTCCCTTTTAGTCTCCCCAGAAGAAACAAAAAACCCAGACTTTGATTTCCTCAAACATGCTAAACATGTTTTCCCTGCAGCTTCTAACAGACATATATATGAAAACAGAAGACCACATCTCACGCTTTTCAAAAGCCAGTTACTTTGACAAAACTCTCTGGTCATGAAACACATCCATTCCGAAAGTAGGCCTCTACCCTAAGGTAAGTATCCATGTTCCTAGTTTAGTTAATGAACAGAGACAAGTATCTCCTGGGGAGATTTCTTCATGCCTATCTCAAAGAGTAAGTCTTCAGGGGTACTTTTCAGTTTTACTACAGAAGGCAGTTGGACATCATCCCTGAGATGGCTCCAGTGTGGTGAAGTGAATGCCACTGCCCACCCAGAGCAAGAGGCACAGTAGAATATTTCATTTTTTTCTAAAATGCTTAGCAATTGGCACCTGCATGATAATTTTAAGATCTTTTCCCATTCCAGCAACAGAAGGCAGGGCCAACTGCAGGTGAGGCTATTATCAAAAATTCATTTTAGCAGAGTAACAATCCCCACCTTCTCAGAGCAGCTTTTCTAATGAAATCGTGAGGAAGGCAAGAGTTGACCTGTAATCAGAGGTGAAGCTCTTTCCTTCACATATCTCAAAACCTTTGTGAGAGGAGTCAGTATAATCACCTCAATTTCACAGACAAGAAAACTACCTCCTTAACCTCCCTGAAAGGTCATCTATGACAGCCAGAATCAAATCCAGCACCCTCAGGTCAAGATCTGGGACTTTGTCTGCTACAGCAACTGGCACTTGTGCAAAGACCATCACTTACTGTGCTGTAGCGTTCCAGCAGCTCCTCAGTCACCGGGTAACGCAATTTCATTTTCCTGTACAGCGGATGCTTCTCATAGTATGTTACCAGCTCCACTAAACTCTCAAAATACGCCGAGGTTCCAAGCACAAAATGGCGACCTTCTTGCTGAATTCGGAAGTGCTTCACCTTCCCCTCCGCTCTGTGAAACAAGTACAGATGCTGTAAAAGGTATCGGTACTCTCGGTGAGAGCATCAGTGAAGTAAACTGGAACAAAACTGATTTGTGCATCTTAATCATGTGAAATAATTTCTCCCTCTTCCAAAGCTTCTTTTATTCAAACTGAATTCTAGTTGCCTGATTAAATTCACAAAGAGACATTCTCACTTTTCTACAATGTACAAGGCCTTGGGACAAATTCATGGTTTTGCTTAGACTAAATTTCCCTATTTTTTTCCCCTACAGATAGGTATTCTGTCATCTTCATAATAACACCAATGTCTCTGATCAGACTGAGAGTCTCTCTGGAATCCACTGCTGCTGCTCTGCCACTGTCCCTAAGCGACAGCCACGCTCCCTTCAAAACAGGTAACTGTACCTTCCCTATAGATATTTTGATAACTACAGGAATCCATTTTGAAAGAAAAATAAAATATCTTGTGCTTGAAAACAAGGTTTGTGCTTGCACTGATAACAGTAAAACCATCCACTGACAACCATCCCACCCACAGAAGACCCCTGCATCCTTTTCAAGCTGCTGAAGTTTTGGTACTTCTTGTTTTCCCCACTGTGAAATGATTTTATTGAGATGGTGCAGCGGAAGTTACTTCAATATCCACCTTAGTAACAGCAGAAAGCTTCAAACCAAAGTATACCAGGAACTGGGGAATTCTGGACATCTTCAATACACAGTATTGAAGTAAGGCATGTAAATAAGAGGAAAACAAGTATTTGTTTTTCAAAGCAATTTTATGTTACAGAAATATGCATTTTCAGAGAAATGCAATTTGATTTGAAGGCACAACAGAGAACACCACAATTCTATACATTTTGTTAATGTCCTTTCAAGAACCACAGTTTCAAAAATACCTTCCCTGAGAAGAAAAGCGAACAATTTCACTCTGACATTTCATTTCGGTAAGCTGTATGACAGGGCAGGATTCCCAGGGGATAAGGACCTGGAATCACTGCCGAACCTGCACCAAAGAAAACTTCAAAATAACATCCTGTAGTAAGGAGTTTCAAGGAATTGAAGAATGGCCATGCACAGCTCTGTATGGGAAGAAATGGACAGTCTGTGCCCAAATATTCTTTATAAAAGCATAAAGGTTAATTCCAGTCACAAATTAACTCTTGTACACACTCCCACACATGGACCTGCTGCACAAATCAGCCATGCTAATTACTCAAAGTTTGAAAGCAAGAATTTTATGACTCTAAACAGACCACAGTATTTTTTAAATAATAAAAAGCAGAATATTTTTGGGCTACTAGGTAATGTAGTCATATCTCTCTTTTGTTACCTGAAAGTCATGGCAAATGAATCAGGCTCATCTCTCTTTCTAATCAGAAAGGCTCCATCTCGGGGAATTCGCATCAGCATGTCTTCTGCCTCTCCCCGACTCAAGTTGTTATAGTACCAACTACAACAGTTAAAAATCAAATTGGACAAAGGATTACAAGCTTGTCAAATGTCATTCAGTAAGAATAACAGGCAGTGTTATTAACAACCGTTTCACACATTACAAGAAAAATTATGCATTAGATTTTCCCCATCTTGCCACCTATGACAGCAAATTATTACAAAACATTTTAACACAGGAGCTTACTTTGGATGAAAGTATCAAGAATGTATCAGAACACCTTATCTGTCTGAAAACATAAAACATAAATCTGCATTTCTTCCTGAAACAAAGGCACTGGATCCAGCTTTTAGTCTGCCATTCAGTTTTCAGTAGTTTATTCAGTTTTGACATAGTAGATTTAAGGAAAAGCCAAACACAGACAAAAGAAAAATAGATGACATTTGAATTCTTTTATTTAGAGCTTGATTTTATCTTTCACTGTGGGGATGGACCTTTGTTGGACCTAATGCACCTTCAGTGAAGCTGTAGCCACTTATACTGGCAGTACATCTCCACATTATACAGAAAGGCAGGAAAGCCTAACCCTTAAACTGCACTCTCGCCAGCTTCCAAAGTTATCTATGGGTGGTCAAAGACTCCCAGACCACCCGGGGGGGGTGGGGAGGGGGGGCGGCGGAATCAAAAAAGAAGTTTAGAGTCACCGATCAGTATTTCACATGCAAAGGATATTTACTTTTTCTCAGTAAGGGCTGTGATCACAGTGTTCTGCCAGCAAACAAGAGCAAGTTCTGCCCAGGATCTGCATCAGGCAAATACCAGCTGGAAATAAACACCAAGCTATACTACTTCCTATCAGCATGGGGTAAAGCCAGCCCAACCATCTCTGACATGGGCGAGGTGGAGGGTGGGATTAGGAAAACGTAACTGTTTGGGCTCACTGCCCCAGTAACAGAGCTTCCAGATGGCCCAGACCTGACCACTTAGTTGCCAGACCACAGCCAACTACTAAATATCTAATCTGACGCACTGGGTGTTGTAAAACACTGAGCAGAGACAAGGAATTGGCACACTTCCACAGCATTACAGTTCTCACTGATTTTCTTAGTTGCTGCTAGTAAATTGCTTTCCCAGTGACTGCTCTCTGTTGTACTAGGTTCTTCCAAAGTCAGTAATCTTACTCAGCACCTTTCAGGGAAGCCTATTCCTATGACATCTGTGGACAAGCAACACTCAGGTGTGCTCCTGAATCCAGATAATTTCCTCTGCAAAAATCCAAGATCATCCAAAACAATGCAAAGGACACTGACATAACAACCCCAGTGCTTGCCTTCTGCTGTACATACTCTTTAGTCTCATGAGGGCTGGGATTCGGCACAGCATCAGTCAGACGCAGCTCAAATTCAGCACATCGCAAGTGGGCCTCCTTGTAGTGTTGAATGAGATCATAGATACTATCAAAAGTGAGGTTGTCTGTCAGGTAGTATTTCACACTGTCCCCATCACTTGAAGAACGGATCCGGCAGTGCTGGACTCTACCTGACCTCCTGAAGAAAATAAGAGCAGCATAAGGAAAAGGAAGGTTTCATAACATGTTTTCTTCTTTTGAAGGGTTTCCTCACCGGTTCCTGGTCAACTACTTGGTGAGCTTGTGAACAGGCAAGAAATCTGTATCATCTTGTAAAGCAATCACAGTAAGAACAGCAACAAAAATTCTGACAAGTAAGATTGCAGGACTGAAAATAATAACTTTTAACCCACGGTGATTTAGAATCTGGTATACACTTGCTCCCTGCAAAATTTGCTCTGACAGTTCTCTGGGTCAGAAATCCATTTGATACACTATTCTTCAGAATGTCCCAACCAGAAATAAAAAGAACCTAGACTACCTAAAAACCAACCAAACAAAAAAAAAACACCCTGAAAATTCTTTTATTATTTTCCCTCTAGAGGATCCTTACACTGAAAAGATCAATCTCTGCTAATAAAGATACACGCATGAGACCACCTTTCCAGTGTAGAAACCAGTAACTTATCCATAAATTAAAAGATCAAATTTTAGCCCACTCATCAAGGAAATAAATCCTATACCCTGTTACAGCACTAGTAAAACTGGGGGGGGGGAGAAAGGGGGAAATCAAACCAGTCGGTCCTCTCTTTACAACTGTAACACTTCAAATAAAGCCTACTCTGCCAAAATTGCACTATGCTACCCTGAAGTTCAATTTCAAAAGTGGTCTCTCACAATCCCATCAATAGTATTTTAGAAGTTATAGCTACTCCTTATTCCTATTTCCTCTAAGCTATAAATGCATATTTGAAAAATACACACATTTTTGTGCAATGCCATAAAACAAACAAAACCCACATAAAACATTTATGACAATCACCATACCAGAATGACAAGGTGCAATCATTAGGGAAAGCCTCACTTTCCCTAACTAGGAATGTCCCATCTTTGCCTCCCATTTCAGCACAATATTCCTGGAGCAGTTTCTCAGCAGTTGTTCTCCCCTCTTTCATTTTCCCATGGAACCACTTCTCTCTTAAGTGTAGCTCAGTACGTTTCACCTCCTACATCAGAAAATGAGAATTTTTATAGTGCATTTCTAATTTTCTGATTCTGAAACAAAGTACTTGTTATTGATATAACAATCTACTGTTTCAGGATTTCAGCTCTTCCTCGCTCTGAACTCTCCTTCCACAAACAAGCCAATCACTTTTGTAGTCACCCTTGACTCTTCTCTCCTGTCAAGCCATTTCTTTGGAGCAGCAATCAACTTCAGTCTTATTCAAATATATAATCAACAGTAGGTGAAATAATGCAGCAACGCAAACACCGATTTATATTTTCAAGGGTAAAACATCATACTGCTAATTCAGAGAGTTTCTAATCAGCTTTTTCCAGGATTCATCTGTGTTCTTCCTTACACATTAATTATTTTACCAACATTAACATCTAGGTGAATGGGTAAAATGTTCTGCATGTGCAGAGACATCTCTGAACCACGCACATACATGTTAGCAACAAAAGGGCACACAAAGAAAACCAAAAGGTCAGAACAAGAAACCATGCTGAACATCACTGCTACTGCAACCCTTAGTGAGCCTCATGTTTTCTGCTTTACCATGCATAGTAGTCAATACATGCTCACCTGTGACACTGCAAATGTGAAATGAACAACATGGATCGTGTAAGAGGTGTAGTGTATTACTAACACGAACTTAGTTCCTCATACTGTCTAGTTTGAGAATAGCAATAACACTTAGCCAAAGGCATATAAAAGCTTCAATTGTCAGTGTACACATCAGCATTAGCATTTAAGTACCAAAATTATATTTCATTGTTTTTGTACTCCTCTTTGTAAGTCGTCAACTAGCCAAGAGAAAAAGTTATTTTATTAAAAATAGGGTTAACTGGAGTATCCTGGCAAATTTTAAAAATATTTTTACACTTGTTATCGGACATGGATTCTCTATAATTTCAACATCGACATAAAAAATACGCACCGGTAGGTACTGAAATAATCTAAGAGAATAAAAAAAACATGCTTAAACAACAAAACATAGCTATCACCTTTGATGAATCTTCATCAGCATTCTGTTCTATATCATCACTGAATGAAAGCTTTTCGTCAGCAATAGCACAGTAGTGCCGAGTCCATTTCTAAAAGTTAAGAGATATTAAAACCATTAACAAAACAGAGGGAAACTCACTAACCACAATTTCAACAAGGTGTAAAAATAAACAATACCTTCTTCTCCTCATTCACATCTGTTCAACTGACAGTATTACACAAATATTGAGAAAATTTATGTAAATTTTCAGTATTACACACCCTAGTAACAAATTGTAGCTAATGTCACATAAATGATACCTGTTCTATTGTGTCCCACATGTAAAGTTCTCCTTGTTGTTGTTTTTCTTCTTTCTTGTCTTCCAAGTTCACATCAATGTCTCCCTTTGGCCCCAGTTTTTTGTGCTTAAAAACAAAATAAAAAAAAACCACCTCATTCATACACTCCCATGGAATCATATATAAAATTGGTCATCATATTTCAGCATGTTCAGTATTACTGGTAGCGTTTCCCTCCATTGCACAGCCTTCTTCTGTCATTACCATAACAACAGCTGTTCCACAAGTCTTTACGCAACAGGGCTGGAATTTCTCTCTTTAAAATTTAAATCTCATAATAAAGGTTAAAAATTTAGTAGAAGCAATGAAGAAACAAATAGTTTAAGAGCTCACCATTCTTTAGAGGACAGAAAACATGAAGTGACACATACTAACAGATAATGATAAAACAAGAATCCCTCTGCAGTGAGCTGGACATAAGGAACAAAAAGCAAAACAAAACAATATGGAATTAAAATGCATGGGGAATTCACTCTACAAGAAAAATGAGCAGAAGAGAAATCCTTTATGACAAGAGGGGATAAATTCTACTTTCTTAAGAATCCTCACAAAAAACAATGGCTCGAGGGGCTAAGGGTAACATCAAATACTTAACTGCAGTTAATGATGGGATTGTCTCATATCTAATAGTTCTCAACTACATTCAGTTCTGCATAGCCTACTGTAGATAGATTTCAATTTGACCGGCTTATCTGAAAAATTCCACAGGTCCCTGAAGTAGGAGCTGCCTCTGACTATTTACTGACATTTTCCAAACAAAAGCCAAGTAACAACTAGCTCACTAGCAGGTGCTGATCTAGCTGAAGACTCTCATGCTCTTTTAGACAGGACAGAGTGATGGAAGTTCTCTTGTGCAGACTCATAGTAGTCTGTAATTCCCTTTAAATCAGGTATGTCATGTTATTCTTGTGCCTATGCAACTCCCCTCTATGCTCTGCAAGGTAACAGCAGACAGTTTGGAGGGGAAAAAAGAAAAAAAAATAACAAAACAACACTTAAACACAGAAGTTTTACATCTTATAGTGGAGTGTATTATTTCCGGTCTTAATTCAAGAGCCATATGCTTATACCTATCTACCCTTATTTCTGGTGTTTACATGTTTAATACATAGGATGGAATACTTTTACAAGAGCTGGAAAACTGAAGAATGGACAAAAGTAATTATTTTACTAAAAAGATGATGAGCAGCCCTCAGATTCTCCACCTAATTTGAAAAGTCCTACTGCAGCTTCAGTCTGAGAGGTCTTCTTTTGGTTTTGTCTCTCATTGTTGCACAACAGTACTGAGCAAAGCATCTGTATTGCCCAGAAGGTAAGACACTCTAACAGTGACTGCCTTCTAATAGGAGCATCTCTGTGTTTCACAAGTGGCTCACTAAATTGCTTATTCAAATCACACTGATTCAGTAAAAACCCATCAATTTTTGAAGTTTGCAAGCAATCCTGACAACTTAAGTATGCAGTCTGCAAGTACTTTGGGTTTCAGCTGAATGAGAAGCATTCTTTGGAAAAAAAGTTAAGAACACTAATCTAACTTTCTATTAAAGAACATACTTTTATTATTTTTAAGCAGGCCACATTGTATAAGAAGTCTATGACAAGCATCTGCAGCAGTGAACCCTTGCTGAAATTTAGCAGTGACATTTCAGGAGCTGAAAGACCTTTAGAAAAGAGCTGACATTCTATCTGGCACTTGAACTAGCAATACTTATTGCAAAGAAAACCAATACTGAGTGCTTTAATATGTTGTATTACAGAACTCCGTACAATATTGCAAAATGTTACTAGTACACACTTCAGGCACGAGGTTTCTTGTGTCTCAACAGAAACTAACGGCTAAGCTGTGAAACCAGAAGTAGTGTTTCTGATTCCTGCTCCTGTTTTCCTATTTTATCTACCAGCACACAAAGCAAGCCTACCTTGATGATGATTTTTTCTTTCAGCTGTGTTGGTGATGGTAGCTGATCGGCACTGGCTTCAATAGGCTTCATTAAAAGCTGATCCCCAAATACCTCCTTGAACACTTTGGCCATGTGTCGCTGTTGCTCTACACTACAGTGCTCTTCAATTGACAGAATCACAGGGTATCTTTGATGGAGAAAACAAAGGTGAATGAAGACAATTTATTTTTGCTGCAACTGGCAAGGCAAGGAAAACAGCACACTCACTCAGCCCCCAAGATCAAAGGAAATATTTAAAGCAAACATGAACAAAGGGAATAGACACAACAGATAATAACAGATGTGCAATCATAGAATTGTTATGGTCAGAAGGGACCTCAGGAGGCCATCTAGTTCAAACCCCTTCTTTGTCAAGGCCCAATTCCTAGGTTAGCTCAGGTTGCTCAGAGCTTTGTCCTGCCAAGATTTGAGTATCTGCAAGGACAAAGATTCTTTCCAACCTCTTTGGGCACAGTTTCAGTGTTAAAGAACTGTTACGTGAAAAATTGTTTCTCCTCTCCTCAAAATTGTGTCTGTTTTCCTTCACATGCAGTCTGAGAAGAGTCTGGCCCCATCTTCTCTATAATTGTCTACTAGGTAGTAGGAGACAGCAACCAGACTCCATCATTAACCTCTTCTTGAAACTAAACAAACTTGGTTCTGCAAGCTCCCCCCTGGAAATCATGTGCTCTAGCCCCAATATAGAAAACTGAACCAGAGAAAGTATTGAGTACTTCAGCTTTCTCCAGTTACTAAGTCTCTTGTCCAATTTAGCAGCAGGCTCATATTTTTATTAATCTTTCTTTTGTTGCAACTGTACCTGTATCAGTCTTTCCTGTTGTCCTTCCCATCCCTCAGCAATTTCATCTCCAGATGAGCTTTGGCTTTTCTCATTTTGTCCCTGCATATCCAGCAAATACTTTGATATTCCTTCTGGGTAGTCTATCCCTTAATGCAAGTAGGGGAAGCATCAGACTGCATTTACAGTACTGACAGTCTGAAACCATGATGCATCATGTATTATGGTTGTCATTAACACAATATGCCTGTGCAGACACTGTCCTACATGTGAAAATAACACTTCTCTATGTCCAGCTGGTAAAATAGAAAAACAGGACACTGACAGCCCAATCTCTTTCCCAATTTTGGGGCAATATTTTTCATGTTAAGGATATCTCAGAACAAGTTATAGAAGGGCAGAGCAGAGATGCAGATTTAAACCCATGTTAGCAGTTCAGGAGGCATGCTATGAATTCTAAGTCTTCTCAGCTAAGACCTCCCCTACAACATGAATATCACCTGATAGACATATTGTTTGTCACTTGTAGTATTTTATTATTAAAAAAAAAAAAAAAAGAGACATACTATTCAACATTGGAAGTTTCACACTTCAATTTAGTAAAAGAAGACCCAAGCAAGGATATGGGAACTTTAAGGTACACACTGTCTTCCTTAGCAGCAAACTGTTATGCAATTGGACTTTTCCTCAAAACTGAATCTATTAAAGACCCACATTTGGCAATAATGAAGACTACTGGAATGTCATTATTCTCCTACTACTTTGTGCTCTAGAGTACAGAGAAAATAAGTTCAAGAAGGTCTAAGCATATGAAAATAGACTTAAAAAAAAAAAAAAAAAAAAAAAAAATCGAAGCTTACTCAGATGTAACAAAGGCATGATCTTTGATTGCCTGTACTACGTCATCAAATTTGATCTTTGTTGTCCGTGTCCATCCATGGTAAATTATGGGTTTCCCATCAGGACCATCCCAGCAATCCACTAGGAAAGGCAAGCAGTGAAAAAGGAAAAGATCAAGCAGTTATTTAAGTAACTCTAGTAGAAAGAATACATCCAGATTTTCAGTGTTCCACATACCGAGTCATAGACTTTAATGTTCTAATAAAATATTCTATTAGATGAATTTATATCTCTCACAGAGGAAAATAAGTTCACTTAAGAGCAATACAAATTAAATACAAAATTTTCCCAAAGCATTATCATGCGAGAACCTGGAAATAAGGGAGCTATACTGTCAGTCTACTAGTTTACAATAATTTTCCAGGGATAAATACACTCCAGTAAGTGGCAAGTTGACAGCTTATCTCTTTTGTTGATTTTAACCCTGAAACTCTCAATTTGAGATACATTTTGCATTAGCCAAATTGAACAGGCAGTATCAACACGTTTTATGAAATAACCGGTGAAATAACGTAAAATTCAAGACAAACTTTTCAGTAAGGTAAACAAGCACAGGGATGAAGACACATACACAGTTAGTGGAAAATAAATGCAAAAAGACACCAACTGATTTACAAGCAAGTTAAACAAGATGACAAATGACACCACATTACAAAAATCTCTATGCCTTGGCCTTGTCTGTATTACAATGAAGGCAAATAAACTATCTAACTGTTACACTACACAAGTAATTCCATATTAAATCCTACGCTTTCACATAGCAGATCCAAGATTTAATTTTTGGTATACAGTGAGATGAGATTTAGAAAGACCTTAAAATTCCACGGGAACAAGCATCAAAGCAAGCAAACAGGGCAATAATGAGGCATAAGAAAAAAAAATTTAGGGAATCAGTGTTTTTTATATGACTAACTTCAACTTCAGAAAACAAACTAGTTCTTGATTTCAGTTCTTTTTTCTTTCTTGGTAAACAAGGGAACCTCTACCTATATTTACAGCATGTTACAAACCACTCCAAAAACTCTTTACTCACACTCAATACATCGACATCCCATTCTAAGGCACCTGATGTAAGCTTCTGTGGAAGATTCACTTCGAAGCTGGTCTCCTGTCAGATATCTAAGGAGTAAAAGGAAAATGTAAGAGACAGCCAATCAGTTTCAACCATTTCCCACTCACTCACTGGATGACTTTTTTTCTCCTGCCCTGGAGAATGTATGGGGTTTTTTTAAAAATTTTTTTCTTTTTACTTCCAATGGAACAACTGGATTCTGTTGAACCTGATGCTATCAGAGGCTCAATATAAACATCAACGAACTCTAACTGAAACGTTTATGGGGAGAAAATCATGAGCTTTGAAAAATATCTAAACCTCATCATGATGAGGCATAATCATGTTGGACAGATGTAGAGAGTATTTAGAGTGGTACCACACCCTATACTTCAAAATACACCTATGAGCTATATCCATATCCACATTCTTTCATTCCCTGCAATATTTAACTTCATCTCTTCTCCCTGTTTTTACACCTTTTTTTTCATTATAATGCTAAATGAGTAAATCCCCTTCATTTGAAGACAGCTCAAACTCATCATCACGTAGGTTTGTATTTGGGCTAAAGAGTTTGCATACCACAAACTGTCAAGGAAAAGGGCTGGACATCTTAGACACAAGCTACAGAAATCTGCAGCTACATTACTAAGCATAAAATTATAAAGAGTAACAACAAAACTACAGTTCCCAGGCCTTCAAAGTTCTGGTTGTAAAATAAACTCAAAATAACAAAGAAAATGGAGAGCAAATAGCACTTTTCCTCTGCCTCAGGCACCTCTGTCTGCTCTAATCTTTATCATTCAGGCAAAACCATGAATAGCCAAGTAAGTCCAGACCAGGAGATGTGCTAATTTAAGGTCTCCATATTCCTTTCCTGCTCAGGACCAAATCCTTTCCACTTTGTGACACTGTAAACTGTCATCGTGTCTATCAATAGTGCACATCACTGCCTCCCTTCCCAAGGCAACAAAGCCACTGCCCTTCAGATCACACTAAGAGTATGGGATTTTCCCACAGGATAAGTGAGGTCCTTATGGCATTCCTATATTCAGGTATAATTAATGCTGACATTAGCTCAACAAGGCTGTTGGTGCTTGGGAAAAATGGAAAATCCTTCAATAACTTTAATTTCTGAAAGCAGAGAGGCTGGAACAGTTTCAACTCAAGACTTGTTTTTATTTTTGTAACAGGATTGAGGGTTTGGGTTTTCTGACAGCTGAGGTTGGTTATACCTCAAGACCTCTATGATATTAACAGAAGAGGAAGAAGGACTCCCACAAACTGTATTTGCTACACTTACATCATGCTTTAGGAAGGTTTCCCATATCCATGAAGTATATTTCTGGCATAATTTAGAAGTATTACTTTCTCCTAACATGTGCTAGATCTGTTTGAACAGAGACAGATGATGGGACTTCAGTAACTTACGTGTTATGAGAGGAAGAAATCCAGTAGTGGGACAAAGGATTATTCATGTCCTGTGCATCTATTGAATCATATTTCTCATCCCAAATACTGTTTTCTTTTGAAAAAAGGTAAGTAAGGAACTACAATACAAAGAGAGAGACTGAATTTAAATGTTTTTATCATACAAGACTAAAAAACCCAGCAATGTAGCAAGAGAAGCCTAGGTGATCTGCCATCCAATTAACAAACTAAGAAATAGCAGTGAAAGAAAAAACAGTCCATGAGTAACTGCTAGAAAGTACCATTATCTTACCTCATCAACAAAGAGGAAGGGTTCAGCAGTTTCTCTCATAGTGTCATCAATAAACTTTGTCATTCGTTCTCGGACTTTACTGAGATCTTGTGCCCAAGATTCCTTCAGATAATAATAATACAAAAAAAAACACCAAACTTTAGTAGTGCTGTTATTCTACATAAAATAAAATAAGGAACAGAGACACCTACAGATGTGATTTACTTCTCTCTCATCTGGCTAGTTTACTGCCAATATATTTATTGTACTCACATATCTTAAGAGTTGATTTCTAAGGGCAAAAAAGAAGATCTCCATCTAAGTACCTTGATATAGACTGGAGGCCCACAAGATATATACTACATATGTACACATATGCATGCACAACCACATAAAAAATCTGAAGGACATGCCTGAACTACAATCTCTCTCAAGTCTGAGTGCAATCTGAACGTCCTTTTAACACAGTGAAATAGGGAGAAAAAGAAAGTAACAAGCTTATACAGGAAGTGTAAGTCTCACTTTTCAATCATATTTGCAAACCTGAAGCTTAGCAGCACCTAGTAAATATCACACAATTTTGTCCCATGGTGTCTGTGCTAAATAACATTATAGAAGATCACGAAGACACTGGTCCAATCCCTGCCTCCATCCTTATCTGTTTGCTGTTATGGGACATCAACCCGGCTCCATTCAATAGAAAATTACCTTTGACTCAAACACAGGCAGTTAGCTCAGCTTTTTATGTAAGAGCTGCTAAAATGGGGCCATGGCCAAGGCATTTACCCCACATGTACTTAAGATGACAGCTGTAACTAGGCCAGGCTATCATCTTTGACATATATCCAGTGTTCATTTCTTTGTCTGTCTGTCTGTCTATCTACATGCCTAAACAGACACCTGTTAAAACCTTATTTACTTTGCCCTCTCTCTCACCTTCTGGTGCACCAACTCTTTATATAGATGAAAAATAATATTTCTTGTGAACCTCAGTGGGAACAAAGAAGAAGAAATCTTTCCAAGGCCTAGTATCACAGCTAACATAAATCATATTATGTGTCACATCACATTTCTTTTTAATGAGCATAGAATTCTGATACAGTCTCAAGAAGAAGAACTCAGAATTTCTGCAACTTTCCCACCTGCTGCTCATGTAGCAGGAATCTCTGAAAGTCATGGAGATGAACTGCTGAAGCATCTGGACGGTCAGTATTTCTTAAAGAAAAAAAAAGAAAGGGAAAGTGAAGCTAAAGAAATAAGAGAGCAAGTGTCATGTTATAGCAGAAAATGACATAGATTTGTATCTTGGATCCACAGTATAAATGCACTTCCACCATCAAGAAACTTTTTATAACTTCAATGGAATTTAGATTAGGCTTGTAATATTGTATTATCTAATTGCTGTACTTTGAGCCTTTAAGTAAAGCCTCCTGGATTCCTGATATACTTTTGATAGTGATTCACTGGGAAAAGTACCAAATCTGTGCTCATTGCTTTGTAGCAAATGAGCAGCATTCACTTGACAGGGCTGTTGTTAAGTTTAGTTGAAGCATATGGAGACACTGTTCTTTTAAATTATCATAGAGCCACACTTCCACAAATAACCGCTTCCATGTATTATTCAGATGATCTACTGTGATAGATCAAAACCTCCTGAAAAAGTAGGCAAGATGCATCTTCACCATTAAAAAGAAGCACAACTGCTTTCCCTTTTGCAGGACACAAGTGCCACATCATCTGGTATCAATAAGGTATTTATAACCTACCCATCTTTGACAAATCTGTGTTTTTGAGCAGTCTCACAAAGTTTAATTCATATGACATGACAAAGGGCTAAGAAAATAGTACATTCACAGCAAACTTTTTTAATAACTTCCTTAATCTGTCTGGAATATTCAAATCCAAGGTAAATTGGTGTAATTCTCAGTCAAAATGTTAGCAATGCCTGTGACCTCCTTTTTCATGCTGTACACATCTATCTTAAATTTTCAAGTCCACCAAGTGAAAGATGCAGAAACTGTTATTATCAGCATTCTGCTCAAGTCTAGGCAAAGCCTGTGCACCACACCACTCTCCAGACTGAAGTTAAAATTCCTCCATCAAATTGTCTTTCCATGATTTTGTTCAGCTCTTAGTAAAATCAGAGGATAGGCAAATTCATTTATTCAAGTCCATAACATTTTTGTAGTCAGAAAGTAAAAAATATTTATCAAATTATCTTCAGGACTTACTTCCATAAATTCACCTTTCTGAATGCAAAAAAGATGTATCATTTCTTTTGACTTACTAAAGCATCAGAACAAAAAACCAGTGATGTTATTAAAAAACAATCCTGCAGCACTACAACTATATGGAAATGTGGAAGAATAATACAAATGAAGAGTCTCACCCAAGAATGAACACAGAGGAATCCTTTTTGAATTCATCAAGAATCTTAAAACAAAAAAACAAAAGAAAAAACAAAAAAGGGGGAAAAGATAAATAATAAAAGAATATGCAATTTTCTATCTAATTCCATCTAATAATGTCCATTGGTTTGGGAAGGGGAAATATACACCTGTCTGCTCTAGAGAAACTGCATACATATTGGAAAGACACATTATTAATTAAACTCATAAGAAAAAACATACTGCTAAGGCTCACAACTGCACTTCAGGCCTTTCAGTGTGAACACACGCAATTCTGAGGCAAAAAACTTGCTATTGATAAAGCACCTTATACACACAATCAGTCGCTTCTGGGGAGCTTTTGTTGCTTGACATCCCAAAGAAACCAGACTTATGTATCATCCACCACATTTATTCATGTGAATATAAAACCTAAATTGCTTCCAGCTCGGCACAGCATAGTTACAGATCAGAGGAAACTTATCAACTGACCCAAAGCAGTTGTTGAACAAACTGAGGAGTTTCTTTGAAATGACTCACAAGGGACAATATCAAGAGTTTAAGGCAGTCAGATAGCCTCCTTACTTTGTGTTCTACTCTTCAACTTTCTGCTCAAGCTAATTAACTATACTTTCATGGCCAAAACTAAAATCCTGTCAAGTAACTGGAGCTTCCTGGTTACTTCACAATAATTTCAGCATTAAACAGCACAAGAAAGCTCTATTGCCAAAAGAAACAGCACTGACTTTGACTAACAAAGCTTCTATTTTAGCAACTGCAAGTTTAATCAACAATCAACACGTCGTCAACAAAGACATTTATGCAAGTAATTTCAAATTATGTGTTTTCACACAGTTTTAAAGGGTTCCTAACTTTCAGAATCACTAAATGTATGCAGTTTCCACCAGCTTCATGAATCTGTGCAATGAATGCATGGACACAGTAGTCAGGCAGTTGCCCATATAAATTAGCCAAAATGTAATTCCTCTGCATTCACGCCTCCCAAGAACTGTCTGATGCACATCATGTAACAAACTCACCACCAGTAATCTCCAAGCATGAAAGATGACGACAACAACAGATGTTATTTGATGCTCCGGACACATCCCCGTGATTTACAGAATGTTCTTAGTGATAACAGATTAATACAAGTATGGAAAAGCTTTGCTCTTATCGGTAAAGAGATCAGCCAAGCCTAATGAAAAGACATTCTACATCCTGAACAAACTCACAAGAAAAGTTCTTCCTAGGAACCCCATTATATCTGTGCATGTATCTACTACCAACACACAAGAAGCAACATGAATGACTAACTCATCTTCTTAAGCCAATTGCTGATGGTGACTGTTACTTACACATCAACTACAGTACTATACCCTTTTTCTGTTATAAGAATGGGGAAAAAAGAAAATTAGTGGCAAAGAGAAACAAAAAAGTAATCAGCATTCACTCTTTATTCTGATCAAGCTGTTTGACAGTATGAAGATCAGTTATGAAAAAGCTTACCGATTTCTGTTGTTCAAACATGATTTTCTTGTAGAACAAATGAAATTGTTCAAAACTAAGCTCTTCCTTGTGAGCGCCTATTTCCTACAATAGAAGGTAACACACAGTGAATTTAGAAGTCCCTGAACTGCATTTGCACAGCAAGCAAGTTGCTCTTACTCCAGCTGCCACTCTCTCACACTTTCTGTTCCAGTCCAACTTCGTTTTAACAACTATGCATTTATTTTTTTTTTTTTTTTTCTTCAGAATACAAACAAGGAAACAGATTCTTGGTTTGTGACACAGTGTTCCTAGCCCACATCTTTGGCCTTGCATTTGGTACCCTGATTCCACTTCCACTATGTTACTGAGAGTGAGGTAGTGCCTCATTTAGTCATTGCTAGCTGGAACAACAGAAGCAAGAGTGTATGCTTTATGGGTGGAGAGCTGGAAAGCAGGAAAAGGTGGGATATTTAAAATTCCTGCAGGAATGGAAACAACCTTCAGAAGTTATTAATATTAGCACAAGTTGGAGTGAAGATGGTATTCCTTGATCATATTGAAAAAAATTATTTTTCTTACATATGAATTTTATCTTAAACATAAAACAGTTTCCTATGCATTCGCACAGTATCACCACCAGAGCTCAAAAGGCAGTGTTGGCTTTGCTCAACTTTACAATGAAAAGAAGGAACTTTTATGTCTATACTTTCTTATAGCCTTAGATATAGGCAAAGCCAAGCTGAGAAATTAACTGATACTGTACATTGCAAAAAGCAAAAATACAGGCAGTATGCTGAAAAGAAGTAACACCACCTATCAGATAATACCAAACAGATGTAAGTTGTCAGGTAATTACCGCAAATTTATCCTTCAAGAACTTCATGCTGCTCACTTTGAAGTTTACTTGGGGAAGGACAGTTTTCAGCTCTCTAAGACTGATACTGGGAAAAAAAAAAAGAAAAAAAGATTGCAAGAACCCCACATTTCTGCTGTATCTAGTCAGCTACTAATATACTTTCTATCAACACAAAAATGGGATTATTGAAATATTTTGGGTAAGGCTCATCTCACATAACTGTGAGCTTCTATAAACATAACACCTACATGTGAGCAAGATGTACATGCTTTCTAGTTAGTGAGGAGAAAGAGGCATTTCACTTAATTAGAAATAGGCATTTCACTTCATCCATATTAGGATGAAAAGAACCATGCTGCAGAGACACCCATTTATCTCCATTAGCAATTAATCACATCTAGATGATCAGTGCAAATGTAGATGTTTACACATGGTCAGATGTACTGCAGCCTTTCTTCCTTTGTTCCAGTCCCACTGAAACTGGGATATAGACACAGAAAACATTATACAAAGGATATACCACATGGATGAGCAGAAACAGAAAATAAAAAGCTACAGCTTTCATTACCATTACAACCTTTTTCTCCAGCTGTTATTCACTTGGACAGTAAAATCAATTCACAGAAGCAAGACTTTTCCCTTCTGCAACATCTGAACATGACTTCATCCTGCTCTCACAACCAAGTCTTCCCAGAGAGGATTGCCTTCCAGGTCCATTTACACAGACCCACTGATCCTTTTTACAAAGTTTCAGAATGTCCAGTGATATACAAGCAACACCAAACCCCAAAGTTTTCTAGATAACAGCAGGGCCTTTCAAATTAGACATACTTATTTCAGATTTTAAGCAACACACCAAGTATTTAAGCACTACTTATATACAAAGCTAAATTTATTAATTGCTGCAACACTTTCTGGCCATACATCAATTCAGGTATTATGTATACATCAAACTTCTTTTGTTGAAGGAAGACTTTGTATTAGAAATGAACTTGTGAACAGCTTATTTCAAAAACCTCAATTTGCTTCACAGCTTCCAGTCTTCTTATCAACCTCTTATTTGATTCCAGTGCCCTAGATGTAACTAGGGCCTTAGTCTCCTTCACTGCAAGCTCAGAGCAGCTCACAATATTTGCTACACTCATCATCAAAATGGAAATAGGAGGTAGGGGAATGCTACTATAATTCCTGTATCAACAGAGAGAGGGTTGATTTCTAAAGGAGCTGGGTGTTCAAATGCTTTAAATGTGCCATAGATACCTGTGAGCCAATCTAACAGCTCACTGCTGTTACAAGAAGCAACCCCAACACCTCTCTGTGCCCCACGCTGCTCTCCTGTTGCTATGGTCCCACTGCTTCCATAAGCCAGCTGTAATGCTCATCAAACCTTCTGCTAACCTGCTGCAACTTGCTAGGCAAGCCGAAAACTACGTGGCCATGAGAGAGAACAAGTTTTCCAGTGGCTTCATGAGGTCACCCAGCCCACCTCATGCCCAGAACAGTATCACAGACAGAATAAGAAAAGAGGCTGGAGTGCCTGATTAGCAGCATGTGAAGATAGTAGAGGAAAACGAAAAAGTGAGACTTCATCCATTCAGCAGCACCAAGCTGGTACACCAACTCAGCCATCTCCTGTAGCCCCATTTCAGTCACCTGATATGCAACTTGTCTTTAGATAGTAAAAAGCAGAAAATAGGTCACATGTTAGAGGACAGAGTCTCAAACTCTGAGTATTCTGAGTAGGCAGTGATGTGAGGTCTCAACAAGAAAGACACAGCATTAGAGTGGGACATGTGAAGGACACAGGGACAAGTCCTAGAGTGGAAGATGAGAGGAATCCACGGCAGCAAAAGGAAGTGGGGAAGAGTCAAGGGAATGCAAGCACAACATCTGTGGATCCTACTGCCAGTGCCCACAAAACATTTATGCAAATACTAGCAGTACCTGACAAACCAAGGCTAAGGTACTCTGTCTTGACCTACAGTGCAATTCATAAGCCATTAACTCTCTGCAAACACAGGGTCAGAACAGTCACCTGAAAGCAACAAAACAATTAGCACCTAGATGAAAGTAATACTTCTATTCTACAGTGTCCATACAAACAGCTACCCTGTGAGATATTGTCATATCCATTGTGTAGAGAGGGAAAAAGGCAAAGTAAGAAGGAACCTAGCCAAAGTCCATGCCAAAGCCAGATTAGAACTCAGGAAATGCCTGGCCTTCCGCCTTGTCGCCAGTCCTCTGGAAAAAAACACTACCTTTAGGAGCAAGAACATGCACTCCATTTGTACCCTAAACATGAAGCACAAGCAATTTCCCCTGGCCAGACAAGTGCAAGCAAAAACAAAGAACTGGGACTTCATTGACACTGGAAAAAACTCAACTTGTGAAACAGAACTTGCCTGGAAGTCTAACCTTTACAATTAACCTCCCTAGAAACTGCAATACTAAACACAATGAAACTCAGTCCAAACTCCTTTCCTGAATTTTTCTAAAAGCATGAATCATCTATCAAGAGAATGAAAAACTGCATTCTCCAGAGTGCAAGTCCCCTTGATCCTAACCAGACTGCCCTGTAGTGATGAAACAACCCTAAAGAAACAAGTGAAACCTTTTCATCAGACATATGCGCTTCTCTATCCTAACATGTGCTTTTGCCTCATGATCCCTAACAAAAATATCCCCCCTTGCACAGCTAGTTTTTCAAAATACTTCAGGAGGTGCAAGCCAATATCCAGTATAGGATGGTACTTTCCCCTTCACCACTCTAGGCAGCTTAGGAAACATCATTTCGAAATGGCGTCTCAGCTCACGCTGAAGCCAGCCGCACAACACCACAGGCTGTCTGCAGAATGGGGTTATTTCCTGCAATAACACAGTTTCATTCACACAGTGAACCACCACACTTTATTCTGCTTTTAGGAAAAGGCCTAAAAGGGAGAAAACACGTGTACTTTTCTACACTGAATTACGCCTTACAATAGAATGCATGTTCCAGACAAAGAGCAAAATCATAGTAAATAGACGTGGGGGAGGAGGGGTTAACATTCTTCTCAGTGTCACATGATTTCTGGCAACTCTAAGGAGAGGTATGCAGCCGAATTAATTAAAAAAAAAAAAAGTCTCCTTTGCTGTGAAAAAGCTACAAACCCACATCACACATGGTCCTGAAATGAACTACTGAAACTCAAACATAGAAAACTACACAGCACACTGGGAGCTACAACTCATGGGACTTTTCTCACGTGAGAAGCACCAGGTCAGAGGTGATTCTTTGGCTTTGGTCTATTCGAACATGTGGCAGAGATAAGCCCATGTAGCCTGACCAATTGCTCAAAACAAAAAAACAAATTAAAAAAAAATATTTTGCCCTTATTCCAAACCATGGAACTTGACTTCCTTCTATATCTGTCTGTATCTTCTATATTTTCTATATCTATCTTCAAGAGTATCTTCTATTTCCTACTGTTAAAGCAACTCTTTCACACAGTACTGCCCTGTTATACCAGTACTCCTACTCCTCCTCTACCCTAATATCCTCAGGTATCTCTTATCTCTTCTTCCTCCTAATACTCTGTTCTGTTCTCCTCATAGCTCACTGCTGCTGTGACTACTTTCAAACTAGGTACCATAGATATTACCCATGTTCAGGCTCCATCAGGACTGAAACAAGGGAAGACTAATCATTTAGACATCTACCCTGGATCTTTAGCAGCTCATGATGAATCCTACTTATGCAGCTTCATTGTTATGAATGCCCAAACAAGCTTTTAAAAGCTGGTTCTGGTCTGTCTACAATAGAATGCAGTCATACCAATGCAAACACACTTTGGCAATGAAGGAAGAACTGGTGATACAGCTGCCCAGGAAAACTCACAGTGGATTATACAGTCCAAACTGCTGGGCTCCACCTTGGCTACGAAAGTGCAAAGACCTCTATAAAGCAAGGAACCTAACATATCTGCACAGCTGAGCTGAATTTCTACAGCTGTGGAAGAGGACAACTCCCTTCCCACACTCTGGCAGGGTAGCTCTAGGCTAAAAGCAAAACTATTTTTCATCATTTGTTTCCTCGTTATACCACCTACATGAACATAAGTGAGTGCTATGAACACACTGTGTTTAGCAAAAGGCAAAATTCAAGTTGTTAAAGGAACAGCAAACGCCATTTTCAGGGGTCTCATCTTTCACATCTTAGATGATTTATTTATTTATTTTCTTTCCACATTAGATTCTGCAACTAAAATTCACTAAAAACAAACTGAACAAAGAGAGAGCTTCTTACCTATTTCTTCTAGTTTGATCAACATAATAGATCTGCTTTCTCAGCCAGCTTGTGGAAAAGAGGGGAAAAAAGAAAAAAGGTTTAATCTAAGAATTATAAAGAAAACACAGCAAAGTAACTATCAAAATCCATCAGTGAAATTCAATAGAAAAATTTACATCTCTTTCAATAAAGCAAAAACATTTCCAGCACAGCATCTAAGGATTCAGCCAGTTTCATAACCATATTTTTAAATATATTTTTTCTGCTGCTTAATACTGCATTTTAAAGCCACATAAACAACACAGGAAGGGGAAGGGTGGGCAGGACAGAAAAGAATGAGCAACCAGAAGCTGTAAAAATATAAGTGGATAATGTGAGCCAAAACTACAGCTAATCTAAACTAGAGTAACTCCATCAAGTCAATGATTTATGCTAGCTGAGGCTGCTGGCTCAAAAATCTGTTAGATGCATGAAAATTAAAAATTGGGGGTAGGGGTTTATAGAATGTTAAAGAAAATCCTCATTAGAGTGCATGTCAGTTTTAGGTGCACAGCCAAATACTATTAGCAGCATTAATAGCGAATATACACACACACACACAAAGAGGATTTTGATCTAAGGGGTGAACACAGCATGTCATTATTAACCTTATCCTCAGTCTCTACAGGAATCATTCTGCTGCACAAACATTGCCTGGAAACCAGTAGCACTTTGCATAGCAGCTCTCTGTAATACCATACAGTAGATAAGAATAGGTAAGAATACTTTCTCCCCAACTGGAACAGCAAGTAGGTAAAGACAGCATCAATGTCAAAGCCACAATTTGGTCATGTAACAAGCGAGGACAAGGTATATCCTCACAACAGGTAACAGCAGTGACCACAAGCAACAATGTTAGCAGTGATGAAAAGCAATCAGGTACAGAGAAAACATTAAAAGCTTGCCAACAAAACTGGCATTCTGAGCACGAGTAGTTTCGCATACAACATCCTCAGAAGCATCAAGGGTGCAGTTTCACCATCATGTGGCTGGCTGCTAAAAAGTAATCCTTAAAAATGTTCATTTTCAGCTTGGCTCTCTGAGTAAGCTAATCATATTGCTATGAAATGCAGTGGGTTCAATAAAAAGGAGAAACTGCAAAAGCACGCCTTGGAATTATTGGGACACAGGACACGTGGACATCTAATAGAGCAAGCCTACTGTGATTACATAAGACAACTGAATCTTCCAAGAACGTAACGCACACTTATATCAGATGTTCCTCTGATCTCATTAAGAGATTTTTGTTTTGGTATACAGAACAAAGTAAATTGCAAGTCCACATTAGTGAATGCATGACATTGTGATTCCAGAACATGTATATAGCAAAATAGACATGGAGAATTTCCATATGAGCTTTCTGTATCATACACTAACTGGAGAGTAGTTGTTCTTAAGGTAACTGGCAGGCACCACTTGTTGCACCTTCAAAATTTCTTTCAGGTTTTCCACTTTCAATTCCAAAGAAACATCAAGTCTCACAAAGTGAAAATACATCCACATACCTCTCTGTGATTGCAGGTGTAGGAGCACTCATGACCTCTTGATACAAGATATTCAAACCACACAACCATTTATCAGCATCATCTTTAGAGTCAGCTGAAAAAAAATAATACGCTATAAGAAACATCAAAACAAAATCGACACTAAGCCAAGAGATAACTTGTGATGTTTAGATAAACCCTAGTATACAAAGCTGCTGATAAATCTCATTGTGTAGCTTCATGTAGATAATAATAAAAACCAACATAAATTTAGGGGTGAGAGGGTTAATTCTGGAAGCTCTGTGAAAAAACACATCCCTTTAGGAATCTGCTTATCAGGGTAGGCAAGTTTCAGTATCTCAGTAGAAAAACTATGAAACTACTGCTGAGCTCCTGCAGTAACACAATGAAAATTCATTTTCTTATCTTCCAACTCCAAAGTGGCAAAAGCCCTGGGACATAGATCTAGAGCAACTTGAAGAGCACAGACAAAAGAACTCAAGGTGCTATACTGTAAAGCTAGTGAATTATATTCCAAGCAACCTACAAGGAAATTGTGAAGTGCTGGCTTTTGATGGACACAACCAACTCCTGTCTGTCCTAACCATCCCTCTAAACACAGATTGTTCCAGACTAGACTTTGGCAACAGGAAAAGGAAGGGAGCAATGTACAAAACTGGTGTAGTGTTGTATATAGAACACATTTTAAAACAAGTTAGGTTAAAAAAAGGTCTAAAATTCCTTACATGGCTTAACGCTAGAAGCCAGGTACATCTTTTCCCCCACTTTCTTGTTTTGTTTTACAAGTTTGAAATGCCTTTCCACTTCCCAACCTACAAGAGTCCTCCACATCATTTAATGTGATTGCATTTGGTAACACTTCAACCCAACAGAAGCAAGATGATGAACTGTGCGCTGGGTATAGCCTTCCCTGTGGAATACTGGTTAAGCTGAAAACAGTTTTCGGGGCATTGGATGAGATGCTATTATTACAGCCTTCAGCTGGGTAAAGTCCATTTGCTTTAGCATGATGGTTCTGAAATTTCATGACACCATTGTTCAATTAAACCAGTTGTGAAAATTTATTTTCAAACAGGATCTGTAATCCGTGCAAATTCTTTTAGCTGCCTTCAAAGCAAAACAGTTTCTCAAAAGATGAATATTACATTTTATTTAAACATACTTTTAAACAATGCTTTATTCCAGCCCAACCTCAGTTCCCCATGGAAATGTTTTTCAATTAGTTACAATTTCAGAAAGAACATCCACTACCACTGCCAAACCAATTCTCCCAAGACAATTCTGCCCTTTATGACAGCTACCATTCCCTTTAAGTAACAATTATTTTATATTGTTTTAAGAAACCACGACAAAGCACTTGAACAAGGAAAAGGATTTCCCCCTTAATTGAAAGTTACATCATGTTGTTCTGCAGTTCAGCATTACAGCAACGTATCTCAAGGTATCGAGTGTTTTCAAAGTATTGGCAGAGGCCTGGTTTTGAGAACTGCCATGGAGGAGGGGGACAGGGGCGTTTTTAGAGGAAATCTATCTGAAGTACCTGGCACAGCTGCACTTAAGCAGTCACTTACTCAAAATTTTCACAGACTTTAGCCAACAATGGTAAAACTTATTTAAAGTTAAAAGCCTGTAACAATGGATTAGTCACAAGCAGTCTTTAATTTCCAGTGCATCAGACTGCAAAAAAACCTATCTTCTAGTCCTGCAATCTATAAGCAATTCATTTCATTTTTAAAAAAAAAAAGCTACTGTTAGCATTAAAATGCTTACAAAGCACTCCTCTTTTCTCTCACTAAGATTTTGCAATTAGTTTAATTATTTAAATGGACAAGCGTGTTCCGGCACAGGCAGAGAGAAGCACCACTCCAAATAAATCGTTGGTATGATTCTAACCCAAGTATCTATCACAAACTTTTTAGAAGAGAAATCTCTTTGTAAACTCCACTAGTTGGAAACCGTATTCAGCCTGCACTGTAAAAATTCATATCCCTTTTAATTTCAAAATCTTTGGATTTGTGACCCTAGATAATCTGACCTGAAATAAGAAATGCCCCAACCCTTTCCACAGATACCGGATACAACTTCACTCTGTTTCACACAGATGTCGTCATTTTCAGTTTATCACCTTCCAATTTTATTTATGGTCCCCTAGTACTTCTTTAGAAGAGGTTTAGTATTATCAGGTGACATGCACACACATAACCCAAACTAGAACTTCATTTTTTTAAATTAGTCTGCGATTGTTCATAGGTGATAGAAAGGCTTCTCAGCTGTAGTTTAACTCTTAATGTCTATTGTTTCCAGAATCATTTTGGCCAGACTAAACATGCCAGGGCGATATTCTGGCCACTGAAGACAACAGCAAATCCTTTATTGACTTTAAAGAGGACAATGTCACCTCTGCTCTTCAGTGCTGAAAACCTTACCAGACATATTTAACAACCAAAAATCTACCTTGCTAGAAATGATTGAGCAAATCAGAAACTACACTCACAAGACACTATTTGAAAGTAAAACATTACAAATGAAGGAGTTCACAGACATGAAGGGCTGAGTCTATTGTCAGATTTCAAACATCTTGTGCACTCATGAACTGCAGAAGTCAGAACTGCAGTATTCTTTGCATTACTGTTCCATCCATGTATTTGATTTGTTCAATCAGTAGGTTTAAAGAATAAAACAAAGAAGAAAAAAGTACCTGCTAAGCTTAAGGTGTTGAGGATAAACTGGGTACCATAAAAAACAGTAAAGCAGTGTTCTTCTCTGTGCTTTGCTTTGCAACGCTCAAAGTCCTTCGAATTCTTTCCTGGGCGAATTTCTTTTATTTCCATCAGATCCACTGAAAGGAAACAACAGTCAGTACAACTGCACTTATGTTCCAGCAGAGTCTGAAACAGTAAGATGAACAACTCAAAGCATGTATACATACATAAAATATCTCTCTATATATAAACTTATAGAACTTTATTGGGCAAGAAATGCAAATTACATCAGATTGCAATCCATAAATTCACAACTAAATAAGTTACAGTAAAGACAACAGTATAAGACAACAGTAAAGAAGGACCAAAAGAAGAACAGTAATTTGTCATATTTTTATTATTTCACTATCACTGATTATCCATGGACAAAGTGTATACACATAGCCCCTCTGGGTTACAGAAGATATGATTTCACAAGTGGCATTTACTCTAAACAAGAAATTTCCAATTGCTATGACAACTGTTCAGAGACAAAAAAGAACAGATACAACTTCTAACTTACCCACCTAAAAATTATGCATCAGATCTTAGATAGTCAGCTAACCTTGTCAGGTAGTCAGCTAGTACAGTCACTGACACTTGCAAGAAAAATATTTAAAGCAGGAATATAAAGAGAAAATCCAGGCTAATATTAAAATGTTTGTGAGTTTTTTCTTGGTCAACTCCAAAGAGATCTCTGTCATTTAACATAGCCTGCTGTATCACTTTCAACTTGCTGCTTTCTACATACAGAACACAGGTACATATTAGAGCATAGCAGAATGGGAACACTGCAGAAGTACACATCTCTCAAGTTCAGCTCCCTTTTATCAAACCCTGGCTACATGGCCCGCATAACAGTAATGAGACAGCACTGAAATAGAAATATGTGCACTCTCAAGATAAGATACTTATTAGAAAACTGAGGAAGTGGTTTCGTTCTGCCTGTGGACCAGAAAAATAAACAGTTCTTCACACTTCTGGACAGTCTTGACTTACGAGCTACAGGGTGAAGAATGAAGAAAAACATTTCATGGCTGCTCTTGAAATGTGTTTATCAGACCTAGCAAGATCCAAGGAAAATAGCTGAGGGTTTCTGTCCATGCATTTAAGAACACCATGATATAAAACCCCTGTTTTAAATGAGCACCTCATCAGTAACAGAATACAGTTAATATCATAATGAAAAAGCAACTCTGCTGCCAACGGAGGGGGAGCTGAACGCTGATTAAAGCTTAAGGCTGTGTAATGCTAGGTTTCTACGATGCTGACATTGAAAGGAGGGAGAGACAAGCAAGGAAGTTCATCAATAAAATCCTGATAATGAAACATTAATTCATCTTGGAACTTCTTATTCTCTGCAAAGTATCCCTGGCCAAACTTTCCACCAGACACTCCTTTCTCGCAGTCATTAAACAACTTACCTTGGGAAAATGGGACCTCAGAGGTTAACCTGAGCTAATTGTAGGACACAAGAATCTTTCTTAAACTAATTTTTACAACTGTAATTATCTTCAAGATGGAGCTTTTAATGTCTCAGCCACCCTCTCAGACCATGAAAACATTTCCTAAGATCTGCATATCTGATTGGCCAAGGACCCTAAATTTAAATGTAAACTTCTAAAATAAATTAATTACATGACCATAAATGACCAGCAACCAAAAGGTCCTACTGATGACTCTGATCCCCTTACCATCCCAAGTCTCACATAGATCCCTAGCAATGTATCCCAATATCCATCCCAAAATGCCACCACCTGAAAAAGATTATCTGAGTCCACCAATTCATGTTAATATCAGCAAAGAAGAATCAGGATGCAGAGATAGAAAGTACCCAAATGGGGAGAGAAGGAGGTTGGATGGCTGCAATAACTGGCATGGGACTGTGCACCACGATGGCTCATCCTAATCATAGGCAAGACCAACCCCAGTCACATCTTCTGCTTTCCCTTCACCCAACAAATCCCTGCTGAAAAACACAGTTTTAACATCACAGCACACCTTACATTTCAGACTCCTATAAATCCACACACATGAACACCACAGCACAAAGACCCCCTCAAAGAATTGACTATAAGCAGTGATAAAATAGATTTCACAACCTGCATCGCTGTTGTCATTTCAAGTGGCTCTTACCTCACACTGACCTCTGAAATAAACACACAAACTTACTCAATGTCTTTCCTCGGTTACATATACTCACTACAGTTCTTTTCCCTGCATTACAGCCATTCAACCCTACCATCCCATTCTCTTGTGTGAACATATACATATATAATACACATAGGCACAAGGATTTTTGCATGCACATGTTTCACACTGCTAACCATATCATCGTTTCTCCAACTTGTCTTTGAAAAAATATTACTATACACTAATTGCTAAATATTCAGTAAACAGAGGAATGGTTCAGCAAGAGAACAAAGTTTGGGGGGGAAAAAAAGAGTGAGAGAGAAAGAGAGAGGGAGAAAAAAATATTTATATAAAAAATCTTCAAATTCAGAATTTTACATTCCCGTACTATTCGGGCAACATATGTCCTTCAAAATTCTGGCAAGATATCATTACGTTTACTTAAATAATATATGAAACAGAAGTACAAACCACAAGTTTTCTTAAACATTCTTTAGATTTTTACAGTAAGAAAGATGTAATACATGTTATAGTTTCAGAAAATGAATAGAAGCTACCTGCATATATTTTAATGACATTTTATAGTCTCATTTAGGATCTATTATTCTATATTATTGAAAGAAAAAACAAGGCAGATAATCAGAGGGGGAAAAGAGAGACATGCATTAATTTTGGCCTAGCGCTAAGCTCTGCTGACTCCCCAGGTTGTCTGGAGTCGCCCAGCACTCTCCACACAAAGCCCGCTAAGTCCAGAATGGCTGATCCCAACTGAACAGAGAAAGGAACAGGCCAGGAAAAGCTGCAACATGTTTCAGACTCAGATTAGTAAATCAACTGTACCAACTTAGCTGTTACGCAGTTACTGTGAACTTTTTATAGTACAATCTGTCACTGAACAATTAAAATGTAATTTCATGCCTGTGCCAGAACTACAAGCACAGAGCCTCGGACACTCTGTCTTCTTACTGCCTTGAAGTACTGGAACCTTCCTTCTAAATCCCTCACGCAAACTGCAGAGCTGTACCTTCACCTGGCTTCACAGACAGATATTCCTGGGGCCTGATACACCTGAAAAGAGCAGATACCTGGACACATGCAGCTTGCAGTGTCAGATAAAATCCAATACACTTGCAGGTGTGATTTCCATAAAGTAGCACAAGAAGATTAATGCATTTCCCAAGGAAACATAAATCAAAGTATGCCCTGTAGAGAAGTTGACTCACACCCAGCAAGACAAGAAGGAGACTCCCAATGCATTTGGTCCCCAGCCAAGCAGTTTAGAAGTCTAGCGCCACTCTAAAAACCCTACAACACTAGTTTACATTTCATCCATTCTTTTATGTGGTTATTTCCACGGGTTAAAAGGATCTCCTTGGCAGCTTCATCAGTCACCTACTGATCCTGACAACTCCCTCAACTGGCTCTTTAATGAGACTGGACTCCAAGGCACCTTCAATTACCATCCTGTTTGAGGCCCTGATCTGGATGTGCAGTATTTGTAGCAGTTCTGAGCCTGAAGCTGCTGAACTTCAGCTCCTGCTGTTGTGTGTTGTTTGGCAAATCAGTTAATTCAATGGATCATTACACCACTACGTAACTACTTTCCAAAGACTGCATAGATTAATTGCTCAGTGCCTTCCAGAGTGTCTGCTAGAGCTCTTTACTGCCATAAACTTAACAATAAACTTTTGATCCTTGACATCTCCACTGATCTCCATTCAAATAACCTGGCAGTAGTGATCACATTTACTCACACACTTATAGGTGTGAACTTATGTTACTTTTCCTTCATTTACGCTTAGAGGCAGATGATAAAACAAAACTTGGATTCCACTACAGTAGGTGCTGTGCAAGTTGAGCAGAAGACAAGATATAAGGAAAGCACAGGGATAGAACAACATGAACAGAACTTCAAAAAAAACAAACACCATTGTTGTACACAATAACACTGTGCTCCTCATTCCAGCAGAAGAGAACAAACTGGCACTGCTATTCAAAGGGAGAAGTTCTGCCTCTGTCCACCCTCATGCTCACACAACATCCACCTCTGGTTGGGAGCACAACTGTTCAACAGAAAACAGACAACTGGGTTAAGGACAGACCCTACTTAAAACCAGCCAATGCCAACAGCAGAACACCCTTATGTTAGCTGGAAGTGCCCATGTAAGTTCACTGCAGGAAGGTGCGTTTGCATAGATCGGCTTTGGTCAATTCAGGTAATTTTAGGCTGGAGAATCAGGCAGATTGTATGTAAGTGGGCTAAGTCAGAAAATCTTTGAGACTGTCAACCTAGCAAGGTATCCTTGGCAGAAAAGTCTTGATAAATAGCATAAAGGTTCAGCTGAGACTGGCATTACAGACTGGAGTCTTGTAAGGTAAGGCTCCTGATTCAAAGTCCAAAGTCCCCAGGAGTCTTTCAGCCTCTGTGGCCACAAAATGAAGCCTGGATCAGAGCTCAGTTACGCAGTTAATGAAGAAGAAAAAGCCTACAGAGAGATTCAAAGGAGGCTTACAGAGTCAAAAATCAGGTAATGCGCATTGTTTACTTCAGCAAGTATTTTCAGTAAGTCTCAAGAAGGCAAAATGGAAACTACTGGCAATGTTCTGGAGAGGAAAATAATGACTGATCATCTAAGTGCTGTGTACTGAGTCATGGAGTAGGCATTCTCTATATTAATATATTTGTATTTTCATGTGTTTATATATAAATAGCAACATTCTCCACTTAACCAGTTTTCAGAATCCATATTTTTTTTCAACAATTTGCATTACAAAATATTCCAAAGAAGGTTTCATTGCAGGGGACAGTTTCTGCCTTGCTGAAACACAGGCTATGTGCAAACGAGCACCCAGTGAATGATGAAAGCTTTTAGTATCCTTTTGCAAACGTACTTCATGGTGGTTAGTGAGGACAATGGCTTTGTTCTTACTGCTGCAGAATTAAAGATTAACTATACAAGGTGTG